CGGATCGTGCCGCAGTCTAGTGCTATCTAAACGAGTCTAACCTAAAACACTCTTTAATCGGTAGTTATTCGGTACCGATCCGGCACTATCACATAATCCCTATTCCTGGGTTATAAGGATCTTTATCCGTTGCACACAGGTACTAAACTAGGTGCTAAGCTAGCTAATGAACTAGATGCGAAACTGGATTCTAAACTGGATTCTAAACTGGATTCTAAACTGGACACTAAACTAGATAAGAAACTAGCTATTTAACTAGATACTAGATATAACCCCTCCCCCATCCATCACCCCGGGGTGGGAGGAGGCTGAATTGCTTAAAGCCCCCTTAATCACCTGTAACCCTATACGGCGGCGTCGCCGCTAAGCCGCCTATAAGCTATCTAACCTAGCTATAGGCCGTTCCTTAGGCTTTGTTTACAGCGGACTGGATTTGCTTCCACTTCGCTTGGCAAATCATTACCCGTACGCGTATCTACCCCCGGTGGTCGCTTACGGGTGGCTGGTAATATATAGGACGACTAATAGATAGGGTAATAAAAAGGATCTAAATTCTCTCTAACTAACTAAAATAATCTATACAGACAACGCTAACCCAACATAAGATGCAATTTGTGTTTGTGTGGGCCACACCATTACAGCGGTCCGTGGATTTTCCGGGTATTCCACCCTATTCTTAACCATCTATTGTACCATTGGTTTCGACATAGATCAAAAATCTCCTTTCCTCCCATCTCCCCTTTTACAAATTAAAGAACACGTCTACTAGCCTGTAGACTCTGACATGGATATATATTACCTGTGGAACCGCTCACTTTGATCTGCTGATTAGTCGGATCCACTTGCCTGAGCAGCCCCAGGGGCCCCTAGACAAACAGACTGTCCGGGCAACTCGGAATGAAACAATCGGAACATCAGGTTAAACAACAAGCCAAGACTCGGCTGTTTCCTTCAACAAAGCTCTCCATATGGAGTACTTGATATCTCGCTTTTTTCCAGCCCAAAATTGATTGGCTCCCTCGACTTTGGACCGTACGAAGATCCTGCTATCCAACACATTATTTTGGCGGGGTGATTTCTAACATGAGAACAAAGAGCCACTGAGACCGACGATCAATTTATAAAAATCCATCTCTGATTGGCATTCTATCTTCTTTAATATCACGCATTATCATGGGCCCCCTAATCCCCCTCGCCCTCCTTACCATTACCACCTACCTTGTATACCACCACTTTATTTATGCCTACTTCCTCTCTCCCCTATCTTCAATTCCCAATGGTCATCTCACATCCCCACTCTCCAGCCGCTGGATTAACCACAAGCGCAGCACAGGCACTGAAGTCCTCGCCATCTACGACCTGCACCAAAAGCTCGGCCCCACCGTTCGTCTTGGACCCAAGGAGTTGGGCGTCAATTCACTTTAGGTCTGAGAGAAAGATTTGCGGGTGTTTTTGAAAAACTTAGCTTCTACAACGAGGTCTTTGTCAACTTTTATACCGAAAACTTGGTCGGCATGACCCACAATGCCCCGCACGCGCACCGGAAGCGCAGGCTAAGCAAGACCTACTCTTAGTCATTTCTACAGGAATCTAGGGATATAGGCGTCATGTCGAAAGTCATGCTGTGGGAAAGGCTTATGCCTATTCTCAAGAAGGCAGGAGATGGTGGGGAGGTGTTGAATGTGCTGCCGCTGTTTCAGGCTGTTGGGATGGACTTCACCTCCTGTTTCCTGTTTCGATTGAGACACGGGACGAGATATTTGTTTCAGATTCTTGAGTGGAAATTCTGGTTGGAGGAGTATGAGCGTTTCAAGTTTTTGAGTCGTGACGACCGGTTAATGGGATATATTGAAGCGTGGTGTTTGGGTTTCTGTGAGCGGATAGAGGCATCTTAAATACTGGAGGTCTTCATTGATGAGGAGAAGCTGCCATCCACGAAACCAGTTATCTACGACCAGCTGTGCCGGGGCCTCCTCACCCAGAAGGAGCCCGAACCACGTCCGCTGAACCTAGTAGTTGCATCCGAACTGTTGGACCACCTGGTTGCAGGCCATGAAAATTCAGGCATTACCTTCACGTACATGATGTGGGAGCTATAATACCACCCAAAGCTCCAGAACAAGCTGCGAAAGGAAGTCCTCATCCTATCTCCGTCTCTTCGTTACCCAGACACAGACGGAGAGAAGCCCCTTCCCTCTCCTTCCGCGATCGACTCCCTCCCACTGCTGGTCGCTGTGGTCCGCGAGACCCTCCATCTTCACTCCCCTGCCCCAGCATAGCTCCCCGGTGTGACCCCCGCCACAGAAAACGGAACTTCCCTGCACGGGTACGACAATATCCCCGGCGGTATGAGGGTCAGTTCGATCGCCTACCCCCTCCACCGCATCTGTGATATCTACCCGCGCCCGCTAGAATGGCTCCCACGGCGATAGCTTGACCCAGGCGATAAGGTCTACGACATAAGGCGGATGTTCTAGCCGTTCGGGAGCGGTGGACGGATGTGTCTAGGGAGTATTTTCGCATTGCAAGGTATTTCTCCCATATATGGGGTTTTTAAAAGAGACTTATGGTGTAGAAATCAAACTAGTCATAGCTACCACGTATTCAAATTACACAACGTCTACAATAGACGACAAGGGAATCGAGCAAGACTGCGCTTTTATTTCGTTACCGCGTGGGCGAAAGTTCATGCCAAGGTTAACTTCGGTTGAGGAATGATGCGATGCAGTCAAGATAATATCGAAAGAAATGAAAAGCTTTCTTGCATGCTTTAGCCATGTGCCACCGAGGATCTTGGCCACAAGATCGTCTAGGTGAACAGATAAATCATGGCATTTCAATCGAGAAGTGAGTAAGATGGTATATCGCCCATTGTCCATTTCTGCCTCTCTCCAAACCAAACTGCACTCTTGTTTCTCCCCCTTTTCCCGATGCCCCAGCCACCAAATTGAAGCCGATTTCAAGATGCCTGCTTCCTGTGCTGCAATATCTCTAATTTGAGATCCAAAACAATTGTGAACTTGATTTAATCAGTCCGTATCCGTACTTTGAAAAGAAATCGGCCAAAAGCCGGGCCGATATTGCGGTGCCGATAGGATCCTAGCTCTCAGTCTGAGATAAGTGTGACATGAAGTAGCTCTAGTCATACTTGCAACTCAGCACACAGTATTAGTTGTATTCGTTCTGGACTGACTAGCCCATCAACTATTTTGAAAGCTGCAGCAGATACAGAATGGGCCACACCCCGCCGAAAAATAGATGAATCAGATCAGGCCCCTCAAAGCCATTCTACACATTCAAGACTACCAGCGTCTGGTACTAAAAAGCGACAATAGATGGATTGTAAAAGATACAAGCCTAGCGGATGGTAGCTGGCTGTTCAATATCATCTCGTTCCCCCCTTGGATCATGTTAGAACAAAGTAGTGGACAGCTGTTAGGAGACTCACTTGTGTTGATTGCGAGTCCAAAATGTCGCCAAGTCTCCAACCGGCAAAAAGTAAGGGAATCCTATGGACTCGAACAGTTGGACAATCAACAGGTAGAAGCCGAGTAAACTAGCAACAAAGAGTGAAGCTCCAGCACCCTAAAGACCAATGACGATGGAGTCAGGACTTATAGTCAACAATTGAGAGACGATTATGACATGGATTGATACTCACTTTTACACATCGATTACCAGTAGCCGCATCGCCCTGTCCTAGTACCCAATAAGCCGAAGACAGAAGAAGGAAAACCAAGAGCAGGCTGAGGAAAATGAGCACGTATACTACGTTGATGCGTGTTGCACAGATCATGAAAATCAACATCAGAACAGCCATAGTTATGAATAGAAACGCTGATTTCGTCAGAGCCATTCAACCAATTCAAGATCCTTTGGTTGCACTTACCATATGAATTCACAAAGCCTTCGCTGGCTAGTCCGGCAGCTGTATCGGTACCCGACGAGGAATAGGGAGCTATCAAAGGTGAGCAAATTGATAGCTTGACTTGGATAAAATATTTGATTGGGCGAACTCACCGGCTGCATTGAAAGAAGGAATCATGGTAGCTGCAAACGCAAACCAGAACCCGCCTTTGGAAATATCAGTGACATGAACCAGTAATTTAGGATTCTCTCATCAGGTAGGAAGACTTACCAATAGTGCCAAACACAACACAGGGAAATGTGTTTCCAATAATGAACTCAAGAATACTCGTGATGAGCAACAAAAGACCACCGAGGAAGACGATTGGTCCACTATTTGATCCATTAGATGAGGCTCTCATCGCAATTTGTTCCATCACTCACATCAACGCCACACCATTTCCACTGGCTCCTCTCCAGGCCATCAAGCAGCATGACAGGGGGGTGGTGGTAATCACGAAGCCTCCCAAGGCTCTAAGGATGAAAATTGAGGTAAGATCAAATTGCCATGCTGCAACTATATGTCATGACTCACAAAGGTGTCGGATTTCCAACCTTCTTGGCTAATGGTGATTGCCGAACCGTCATGGGAGTCAAATAAAGCCTTTCGAATTGTTCAGATGACAGTGTCACCGATGTTGGCACTGTAGTGAGACCATTGTGTGTGTGCTCCTTGTTTTGAAAGGTCGTCTTGGACTCGCCATTTTGACTCGTGTCGCTGTCCATTTTTAGAATCAATGAGATCAATATCTCTAGTGTCAAAGGGTAGAGGTCTACAGGAGATGAGACACTGGCAATGGAAGCTCTAAGAGACGAGCCTTGTATATCTACAACATGAGGGGACTGTGGGACCTTTAACCCTTCCCCGGACTTAGTGGCTGGTGTGAAGTATGGGGTAATTGATCTTTACATGTTCCACGGTAGAAAGGGGGGAAGTTTAATCATAATCCTTTGCACCGCATCCAATCATGCGGTTGGCGTGTCATAGATTGACTTACTCCGTACAGCCATGTCAGATTAGCCTCGAGCGCCAAGTGAATACATTAAGGATGAAAATCGACAGTGGATCTACTTGCTACCTGATCGGGGGTTGGCCAATGGAGCGTAGCAATTTGCTGCATTCTACTCCGCATATGCACTAGACTTCTTACCATGATAATCGTCACCTTGGCCAAATGATCCTCTCTCTGCTCACCGAATTGCCACAGAATCTCTCACCCGGGGGCTTCGGATGCCCAGGGATGCGACAGAGTTTAATAGTTCACAACATACTTTTCTTTATGTGGAGAATGCAGATCAGGGAACCTCTGAAGTAGTCGAAGGATCACTGTTTGCCAAGAGATGACGTGTATGGTTGAGCCATGCGGATCCGAAAGTTCATGCGGAGCCGCACGGCCGGAAACAAAACTGATGTGGTCATTTTCCAAAATTCTACAAGTTACCCCGCATTGTTTGGAAGTGGCGCACGGCCCGGATATCTTGGTCTGGGGAAGGGGGCTAACCGTGGTACGAAGTAGGCTGGCCATTGCATGCGGAGCCGCTTAGATCGACATCTCAAATTTTACTTGGGCCTTAATGGCGCGTTGTCTATGATAAACACCTTGGTAGTCATGTCTTGTGAGGACCTTTGGCGTTAGTGGCTTTCATAAAGAACCCTCCATCTACGTATTTACCGAACTTGGTGCCAAGTGTACCACAACAATAACCGTGGGAACTCATTTCCCTTCCTTGAAGATCACACAGTGCACCAAATTCAAAAAAGCTTGTTTGGAAATGACATCTTGTGGTGAATGTCAAATCCAGCACCCTCGCAGAAAGGCTAGAAGATCCTGCTTGTATTGTCAAAAGGCCCACAAAACATGCGGTAGGCTCAGGGACATCCCGGCCTGCTTGTTATCTCGAGCAACCGTAGTTCAAGATCTATAAACTGACAAAAGAGGGTAGGGAATGAGCGCCCTTGTGGGCAATGCGTGAAGCGCAACATGTCATCACAATGTGTTGATGGACACCGAAAACCTCCAAAGTACCTCAATGAAGGTACAAAGAAAGCAATCAAGGCTGGCTTGCATCGCGGTGTTACTTCTCCAAAGCAAGCCCAGCATGAACAAGAAACTTTTCCAAATACCACAAGCTATGAGTCAGTTTGACACTTCAGAGCCATTGCATCCTTACTAATATTGGATTTAGCAACAAGACCACTAGAAAACAAACAATCGATGAGCGATGCACAAAAGGCGTCAGAAGCGATCCATCCGAGGAATTCTTTGATGACTTCGTTGATTCAAGCTCTTTCGATACTGAAAGATCGAGTGTCAGGCTGGGAAGGAAAGATTCCAAGAGAAGTTTTGCCAAAAAAAACGACAATTTCATGACTTTCTTCTCAGACGCTGAATTTGCGACGTGGTCAGAAAGGTCTTCCGGCGTATCCGACGATAGTGAAGAGGGGACGTCATACCAAGCTCTGGAGGATAATTTCGGAGTCCGCTTGGTGAAAACGCAAAGTTATGCAAGAGCTGAACCATGTTCCGGATTTGCTGTCAGGAGTGGCTGGTCGAGCACATTCTATCCTCACGAAATCGAAGAAAAATCCCACGGTTGCTGAATATATCAGCCAAAACAAGCGCAAAACGCAATTGATGCTCTTATGACTATGAAGAAGATGAGACTGCAGAGAGATAGATCTCCATCTGTTCGATTTCCGGGGATTAGCTCCGTCCAGGAATTTAGAGCTCGCCATCCTCTTTTTTCCTTTTTCTTTATTTTTGATTTTTCCTTTTTTTGGTTTAACCAGCAGGTTGAACTTTCGAGATGTGATTATACCAAAGTGTTGCTTATGAATAACTATAGTGGCTAAGATTGCAAGACGTTGAGTTTGGTTGAAATGCTTTGAAAGTGTTTGTGGTGGCCAGGGTCAACCGCCAACTCCCACCTGCTCTAGTAGTTTCAACAACTCTTGGATTGTGTTCTTTCACCAACCATCTCCACATTTGCTTAGGCTATTGCATAGCCTCAACGTCATTTGTGAACCCGGGACCGTCCGGAAACCAGACAAAAGAGCAACTCGGTGAAACCGTACATAGTACAAGGTTACATCCAATCGAAGTAGCTACTTGTGCGGCTCCGCATAGGGGCCCATGCGCGATCCCCACAAGCCTCCCCCGCATTACCTGTGCTACGTTCCAAGTCGAGCATGACAAGTTCCAGGATCAGACACAATCAACTGTGTAGTACCTCTTGTGGTATTCCAGATGAACTCCGGTAACCCGACCTAATTCCCCCAGAGGAGGGGAAATATGAGAATTGAAGCGACAGACTCCACCTCGCCTTCTTTTACCCCGGACATTCCCACCTGACAGATTTAGCTATAAAGCTCCAATTGATGTCCCGCAAATAATCATCAACCCACCAAAGAAAACTTCTTTATCTGTGACATACGGATAACTCATCTCATCCTTCATTTGCATCTCATCAACATGTCTATCCCAGAAACTCAGTGGGCGCAGGTGGCTGAGAAGGTCGGAGGGCCACTTGTCCTCAAACAAATCCCCGTTCCCAAGCCAGGTCCTGACCAGATTCTGGTCAAAATTCGCTACTCAGGCGTTTGCCACACCGACTTCCATGCGATTATGGGTCACTGGCCCATCCCAGTTAAGATGCCTCTGGTTGGTGGACACGAAGGGGCTGGAGTGGTCGTGGCGAAGGGCGAGCTTGTGAGCACCTTTGAGATCGGTGACCACGCTGGAATTAAGTGGCTCAACGGTTCGTGCTCTGAGTGTGAATTCTGCAGACAATCGGATACCCCTCTGTGCGCGAATGCGCAACTTTCTGGGTACACTGTCGATGGTACTTTCCAACAATATGCTCTCGGCAAGGCCACCCATGCTTCTAAGATTCCCAAGGGTGTACCCCTTGATGCAGCGGCTCCAGTACTCTGCGCTGGTATCACTGTTTATAAGGGATTGAAGGAATCTGGCGTTCGCCCTGGCCAGACGGTCGCTATTGTCGGAGCAGGCGGTGGCCTTGGGTCTCTTGCACAGCAGTACGCGAAGGCCATGGGCCTTCGTGTAATCGCTATTGATGGAGGCGACGAGAAGAGACAGATGTGCGAGCAGCTCGGCACTGAGGTATGATCCTGAAACATCGACATTTTGGCGTTCCTCTATATCGACCATCGTAGCTAACCAAAAAAACCAAAAAAGGTTTACGTTGACTTTGCCAAGTCCAAAGACCTTGTTGCGGACGTGAAAGCAGCAACCCCCGGTGGTCTTGGTGCTCATGCCGTTATCCTGTTGGCTGTCTCAGAGAAGCCTTTCCAACAAGCCTCGGAATATGTTCGCTCGCGAGGAACAATTGTTGCGATCGGATTGCCCCCAGATGCATTCCTCAAGGCCCCTGTGTTCAACACTGTCATTCGTATGATTAATATCAAGGGAAGCTATGTTGGAAACCAACAGGATGGTGTTGAAGCTCTAGACTTCTTCGCCCGAGGCTTGATTAAAGCTCCATACAAGTTGGCACCTCTGAAGGATCTTCCCAAGATCTTTGAGCTTATGGGTATGTTACTCTCTATCACTGGTACACTGGAATGAACTCTAACTTGATATAGAACAAGGCAAGATTGCCGGCCGCTATGTGATTGAGCTGCCGGAGTGAGCGGTTGACGATTAGCGAGCTGTGCTATAGGCACATATTATGAGTTAGGAGCATGATGATGTACATAGGCGTGGGGAGTTGCGTGCGAATTTATGTGATGTGTTAATTGACATGGTGAATTTAACTTACTATCAACAATCGATACATAAGAACCCTTTTGACACGGTCTCTGGTTGCTTCTCCATTCAAAAATATTACTGGCCTTGATCCCCGGGGGTTGAGACCTACTCTTCGCATTTGGGGGGTCCTCATGCAACCTCAGGAGCTACGAGCTTGTCATTGAGTTCACTACCGGACTGTGACGTCTCAAAAGTAGAATTAAAGTTTAAGATCCAAATGGACTGCCGTTAATGGGGTAGGTAGGCTAAGGACTATCAATAAGAGAATACCCAGCAATGTACTTTTTTCGAGTGTGCGAGAGTGGAAATTGCGAAGCAGGAAACTGGTCTAAAATCAAGTTGATGGGTCTACCAAAAGTAAACGCTGATCTTTTGTGTCTTCACCTAGGCGCAGAAGTACGAAGGATATGATCTAGGGAAATGGCGGTATCAAATTAAGAGTATCGGGTGCGACACCTGACTAATTTCTCTGTAGCCAGTATCCTACCTTTAGTCCCATTGCGGGCCACTTGCAAAAGACCGGGGGTTTAATCATTCCCCGCTTTTAGCCCGACTAGTGCTGATCGTCCGGACGAAGGGAGATGACGGAGAAGCCAAATCAGGGGCGCGGGAGCGGAGCCGCAGCCCAAAGCGGCGAGAAGCATCGGGCCGGCCTTTCTCGATCTGCATGCTTTCCCCACGCTCTGCAGCCCCGACGATTTTAGCCACCCGGGTACTTCCCATTAGGTATATAAGTGTGCCTTTAATGTGCCCTGTTCTCATATTTTACACCTTCATCGAAATCTCTCTGATCAATTCTCTCTTCTTCGATAACCATGTCACTTTTTCAAACAATCGAGACCCCTGCGCTGACATATGAGCAGCCGTTGGGACTGTAGGTTGCCCCGAACAACCCCCCCCCTCCTCCCATTATTTCAGGCAATGATCTAACAAATATTGTCAGATTCATCAATAATGAATTTATCAAGGGTGTGGATGGGAAAACGTTTCAGACGATCAATCCCCACAACGAGAAGCCCATTGTAGCCGTTCACGAAGGCACAGGAGAGGATGTCGACATTGCCGTGAAAGCTGCTCGCGCTGCACTGAACGGAGAGTGGAAAAAAATCACGCCGTCCGAACGTGGTCGCCTCCTTACTCGTCTGGCAGACTTCCTAGAACGCGACATTGAAACGTTGGCCGCTATTGAAGCCCTTGACAATGGCAAGGGAGTGACAATGGCCAAAGGCGACGTTAAAGCCTCTGCCGGGTGCCTGCGCTACTATGGTGGCTGGGCCGATAAGATTTATGGTCAAACAATTGACACTGATACTAAAAGCTTGACCTATACGCGCCACGAACCGGTGGGCGTCTGTGGCCAAATTATTCCATGGAACTTCCCGCTTATGATGTTCGCTTGGAAGATCGGCCCTGCTTTGGCCACCGGAAATACAATTGTGATCAAATCGGCCGAACAAACACCCCTTTCTGCGCTTTACATGGCCAAGCTGATCAAAGAAGCGGGATTCCCCCCTGGAGTGGTCAATGTTATTTCAGGATTTGGAAGAACCGCAGGCGCGGCGATCGCCTCCCACATGGATATTGACAAGGTCGCTTTCACTGGATCGACTCTAGTTGGACGTCAGATCATGAAAGCAGCGGCCGATAGCAACTTGAAGAAAGTGACCCTCGAACTGGGTGGCAAGTCGCCGAACATCATTCTCCCCGATGCAAACCTAGAGGACGCAGTTGAATGGGTGAATCTGGGCATTTTCTTCAATCACGGACAGTGCTGCTGTGCAGGCTCTCGCGTTCTTGTTCACGAAGCTGTCTATGAGAAATTCCTAGAGCTTTTCAAGAAGCGAACCGAGCAAAACAAGGTCGGAGACCCATTCTGTACCGAGACTTTCCAGGGACCACAAGTATCACAGATCCAATATGACCGGATCATGGGTTACATTGAAGAAGGAAAGGATGCCGGTGCTAGGGTCGTCACGGGTGGCGATCGTCATGGCAGCGAAGGATACTACATTCAACCCACCGTTTTTGCTGATGTCACTGAGCATATGACGATTGTGAAAGAAGAGATCTTCGGACCCGTATGCACGGTGCAGAAGGTCCACAGTGAGGAGGAGGCTATTAGAGTGGCTAATGACTCCAACTATGGTACGTACTACGCGATCTGTCACATTCAACCTGTTTCTTATGGTCTAATACACAAATAGGGTTGGCCGCGGCTGTCCATACCACGAACATCAACGCTGCCATTCGAGTGTCTAACGCCGTCAAAGCTGGGTGAGTGAATCAAAAATCAAAAGTGGGTCTCCAGAATGTGCTGACAAATCTCCTGCAACAGAACCGTATGGGTTAACAACTACAACACCCTTCACTACCAGATGCCCTTTGGTGGTTTCAAGGAATCCGGAATAGGCCGAGAACTTGGATCATACGCCCTCGAGAACTACACTGAGGTGAAGACAGTTCGCGTGCACCTTCAGTCGTAAGAAGATCGTTTGAAGGGAGTATTTTAACTTTGGGGGAGGTGGTTTTACGTTTCATTTTGTAAATATTACAGGAAATTGCCTTGATATGTTCAGAGCACCAAATGCGGAAAGTTCATTTTTTTTTTACAAATTTTCTCCGAAACCAGCCATCTTTAACTGGCCGAATTATCCAATTACAATTATCCAATTACACAAGTCAATTGCGTTGGGAGCTTGTCAAACCAGCACGTTAGTCAATTCAGCAAATCTGGGCGAAAGACTACCCCTTTTATGCAGAGTCAAATTCTCTCCTTTTTCTACCACATTCCATCTGTCGATCACAATAAAGATCAATCCGAAGTGGGATTGAGGCGGGCTGCCCCGTGACCACATGCAGTAGGAAGCTTTCTATGATTGGCTAGACTCCGGGTGGACAATGCTCCGGTCCGATCTCGAACTTCAGGGGCGTTAAATCCTAAAAGTGCGCCGGGTTCCGAGCTGTCGTGTAACATTACCCCCAGATGTACGGAGTATATGATCTTGGATTCTTTTTTTTTGGTTCACTGCGGTTAACTTACAATACGGCACACCCGGATGTAAACTGTCTCAAGCTAGTATATCTTGAAGCTCAATGGCTGAGACAGTACCCAATTATAGTTCCACCGCACCGGAGATGACTCGTGTCTTGTGGAAGGATGAAGCGCTAGCTTCTCCACCTTTACCCCACTCAAACTCACTCCGCACTCTACGAGGCTCACGTGTTCCCCCAGGAATTACGAAATATCTCAAGTCTGAAGAACTTTTAAAACATTTCGTACTTTTTCCGCAAATTGGGGTGACACAACTGCCTCCTTCCCGGTAGTTAAAATTGACGACCAGTTATACATGCAATAGCTCAGCATGGAAGACTTCCGCCGACGTCAGCTTCACAGCTGTGATCCATGTCGCAAGGGCAAAAGAGGCTGCGACGCACCTGTTCGTCACACGATCTCTGTACTATTAACGGCGGAAGCGGCGGATGCTAATTTTTTAACACTTAGAAAGAACGACAAACGAGCGCATTCAGCTCTTGCTCGAACTGCACTCGATGGAAAAAGGACTGCACATTTAATTGGATCTCGTCAAAGCGCGCGGACTCGAGGAGTCGAAAACGAATCAAGACCAACCCCACAAGCGCAACCCTTCTAGCTTCTCACAACGTTGCTCTGGAGGAGACGCTGCGCTCTGCACAAACACATCCTGCCAATGTCGGAGAATTGCTTAGCCCGCCTGAAACTTTAGATTACGCCTTCCCCTCGTCCTCGTCGCTCCCAGAAAATCACTTTCACGAGTCATTCCAAAGCCACGATTTAACCAGCGACCATTCTCAATCGATTCCTTGGACGATGGACATCCCATACGATTTGCTAGTTAGCAGCTCAAATCAACTTGCTTCTCCAGACTCCTCCGTGGAATCCGACGCGCAGGCTGAATTTTTTGATTTTGCACCTCCTTCCGTCGAGAGCACATACGGGTTACTACCACAGCATGGATATGCATCCACCTCTCATACCACATCGATAGTCTCAGCATGGAAACAGAGTCGACACAAACATCCCTCAGAGTCTGCGTCTGACCGAACCTCAAATCCAGAACAACAGTGGAACTTCTGCATCGCTTCCGAAAACACAGCTAAGGAAAGCGCCCGTGCGATGATGTCACGCAATCTGGTCCGCATATACCACGACAGCATGGAGAATGCTTTGTCATGTTGGTTGACCGAGCACAACTGTCCTTACAGCGACACAATCAGCCAAGTGGTTCCTCAGCGAGAGATGAAAGCATGGGGTCCGAACTGGTCAAACAGAATGTGTATTCGGGTCTGTCAGTTGGATCGTGTATCATCTTCCATACGCGGCAGAGCGTTAAGTGCGGAAGAAGACACGAAAGCGGCTCGGGGGCTTCATCTAGCGATTATGTCATTCGCATCGCAGTGGACTCAACATGCACAGAAGGGCACTGGCGCGACCATTCCCTTGGCAATTGACCAAGATGAGAGATCGATCCGAGAGAAAGTTTGGAACGAAGCCCGCCAGGCCTTGGAGCATTCGAGCCACATTCCATCTTTTCGCATTGCCTTCGCAAATATCATATTTTCTTTGACGCAAAGCCCGCTAGACAAAGGGCAGGCAGCAAGCCTGGGCGAGCTTTTGGAGAACGATCGTGCGCCAACGTTTCTGGAAACCGCCAATCGTCAAATTTTCACTTTTCGGCACAAGTTCACAAGACTGCAGCGTGAGGCTGCCCCCAAAGCTAGAGATCTTGGGAGGAGGTCGATAGAGTCAACTATGACGAACCTTCGGGAAATACCACAGCCCTCAGAGCCTCCGCAACTCGATCCACTTCTGACTAGCCAAGAACACCGCACTACACTAGATCTTATGTTTTGGCTAGGCGTTATGTTTGATACCCTAAGCGCTGCAATGTATCAGCGCCCTTTAGTAGTGTCGGATGAGGATAGTCAAATTGCATCGGCCTCAGCACGAATAGCTGAACGTGGAGATCAGATTGATCTTGATCAATGGGATATTACAAGAGGCAAGACACGCGGGAAACAGGATGTGTGGGGCGATTTATTCCTTCGTTCTGCGATAGAACGTCAAGGGTCAGGCCAAGACCAGCCGAGGTGGCCGTGCTCGTACGAAGAAGCCGCATCCATACTTTCGGAGGCGACTCCTGTCAAAGTGTTACTCTACCGTCGGGTGACGCAGCTCCAAACTCTGGTTTACCGAGGCGCGAGTCCCGATCAAATTGAAAACGTCATCCAAAAAACACTCACAGTCTGCCAATACTGGGATTCCACATACCAGAGTTTCATGGTCGATTGCGTTAGCAACCATGAGCTGCTTCCTTCTCGTATCCAATCGTGGTATGTCATCCTCGATGGTCACTGGCACCTCGCTGTGATGCTCTTGGCGGATGTGCTAGAGAGCATTGACAAATGCAGGCTCGGTTCTGATGTTGCACGTGAGGCTCGGCAAACTACAAACTTGGTTGCTACACTTAGAACGAATAATGCGTTGGCAGTTGGCGGACTGGCTCGGGCTTCAATACAAGGGCAGTACTCGTCCATGAACCGTCATTTCCATGATTCTCTCAGTGAAGTGGCCTTCCTAGTTGAACCGTGGACGGCCGTGCTGGTCCATTGCTTTGCCAAGGCGGGAGATATCTTGCTAAAAAGTTTGGATATTTCCGGGGATCAAAATGTGTATGCTAAGTGCTTACGACACAATTGCGAGTTCTTGATCCGTGCGCTTCAATATCTCGGAAGAAAGTCCGACATGGCCTTTTTGATGGCTCGGAATTTGCTAAGGTCTTTCGAATCAAAACTTGCGGAAACATCATGAGAGAATCGATTGGGTAGCACCTAAGTTCTATTGTCTTTTGGTTCCCGAAATCTTTGTCCCGGGGCCGGTGAAGGACCGGCAGGGACGAGCTCGTGGCGGAACAGATCAGACACTCTGAGTTGGACTGGATGAACAGTTGGTTCATGTGCGAGATTGCATCCTAAGCAGTGTTCTCCAATTGTTTCTATGGGGGCACCCAGTACTGAGAACAAACTACTTCCTACGGATACCACGGCCGAGGGAGGTTGCGTAGATGAGTCAATCTCATATGACGCTTCCTTGTCGCCACCTGGAGGAACTATTCCTTGGTATCCATCTATGGGCAGATTCTGATCATGGAATGTCAGAAGAGACCCCGGCAGATAAATTGTTAGCAATAAGTAGGCCAGTCAGCAACAGTATGGGACTTCGAAGAAGACGCTCCATTAACAATCCAAGCCATCAATCACATTCGCGATATCCTTGCTCTTCCTATGATTCTAAGCAATACGGCGCCATCGGGAGATTGCCATCCATCGATTTTCGGTCAGCTCCAGACTCCTGTTTTTCTTGGCGATGGCGCCGAAGATCCTAAAGTCTCTGCCGGTCTTGGTGAGAAGATGACTCGTGTTCTGTCAAATGGTCTAGGAATGGATGTAACATGGAAGGAATATCAGGGATTAGGACATTGGTACCGTGCTGAGGACGAGGTTGAAGATATCTTGAGCTTCCTTCGGGATCGTGTCGGCCTACCAGTGACGCCAGGGTCATACCTAGCAAAAGGGACGAAACAGGGCAAAAAAAAGCATAAGTGCTTCTTTGAAATATTGCCCACCTGACCCAGCTTGATTAAACTTGAAAATGGATAGGTAGGCCCTTTTTTATCTATACCTGTCTCCACGCCAAGAGACACGATATATTATTTTGGTCTCTATCACCCCGATCTAAACCCCTGATTAGGTGTTTGCGAAGGGACTTTGGGATCCACAGAAGCTTTCTGTTTTTGAAACCCTTCATGCTCTCCCGTGCATTCTATGATCCATTGTAATTTTTGCAAGAATATCTAAACATGATTTCAAGCCTCATGAACTTGATATTTAGACTTGGAAAACCACAGTCATACTCTACGACTATTTCAATGGCGAAGAATTTCCCTGAGGGTTAGCTGAGCTTGAACATTCGTCTGTCCCGTAAAAGGACCCGGTTGGTGCACGCTCAGGTCTCCTTCCCTCTTTTCATTCTCCTCACACTGAGTTTTCCCCAACCGTCCAATGTCCTAGTTCGCGACTAGCGGTCTTACTAGCCATGTAGCGAGTATGGAAAGTCCTCTTTGACCCACCTCCAACATTAGAGACTCGGATTCGAGAGATTCTAGAACTTTTAGTCGGCTCGGCACACCCTTTCAGTCCCGAGCGACTCCTTCTCTGTCTGGCCGAGACCAGGGTTGACGAAATTGATCTCTCCTCCTACCCAGATTACCTGTTCTTCTATGTCGTGGACATGGGTAAGATGGTAAAGGTCCTTCTGAGACGCATGGCTGGCTTCCAGTACCATCTCGTTATGTCTATTCTCATTTTACCTTTTCAATTCAAGATTGAAAACTCTCGCCTATCTCAAACTAGAAATCGATATTCCTTATATAGAATCTTTACTAGACTAGATCTACGTAATAAGAAAAAGTCAGTTTTTTACTACTACTTTTAGGCAAATTCGAGGCCTTTTTCGTAATTTGAACGCTAAGGGGGATCTTATTAAGGGATCGCCTTTTATCCAGGCTGTAGGCCTAGTAAATATTGTGAATGGTATTTCGAGAGGGGTACCTGGGGTAGCTAGCGCCTAGGCGTTTATAGACTAAAGGGAATTCCGGCGGGCTTATAAAAAAGGGATAGGCGCGTTGGCTAAAATTTTAGGGGATAGCTGTAACTGGATCTCGAGGACGTATTCTTTTACTTTAATACCCGCTCTCTAGTACGGTATGTGGTACTACGGTAGTATGTACACGTGACAGCGAATTTCGAGGTAGATACCCGAACCCCTAGAGAACTACAAACTCCGGCACGTTGCTTAAGGGAAAGCTTACTCAAGATACCCCTTTCTCCAGGGATTTCAACGCCGAAAGAACGCATGGTGGGTGTAGGAAGAAAAATCAAAATAGGGTGTTTGGGGGGGGGGTGATATACTAGGCGCTAGAAATGCGGGGTTTGTTGCAGGACTTAACGGGATGTGTCATAGATAATTTAGATATAGCCTATTTAAAGCCTGTAAAGCCTACAAGTAGCTTGTAAGTAGTCTATTACCAGCCTATTATAAAGTGAATTTCTTTAAAATACAGTCCTAAAGAGCTTTTCTAACCATCTTTTCTTACTAAATTTTCAAAAACTAGCAGAAATCGCGCAATTCGCTAAAAGTGTTAATCACTAAGGACATGACCGCGGTTAGAAAAGGTCTTTGGTACTATAGTATATATTGAGACTTGTTATAGATATCTCTCTTCTTACTGCATGAAACATTTTATAAGGGATCTTCGGGAGGAAGGGCTGGAAATGGGCTCTTTCGCGGGCTATTGACGGGCTTTGCAAGCTTTTCTCCAGTGTTATGGGCCGCCCTGCTAAGAAGCTGTTGGAGCTAGTGGGTGGCGATAGGAAGGGTGAGGTATGAGGGTTGCTTCGGAGAGGATAAGGGATTTGTAAACAGAGAACGGTACCAGCGCTGAGCGAGTTTATTGTAATACGTAGTAATGACATCTTCCCAGAAACGCACTTGCATAATTGTCATCTTGTAGATACCGACAACTTCCAACAATCAAGGACTGCCAAAAATGGAAACTAAACGGCTGAAGAGAAGCCATGCCACATACCCTTCCCTTGCTGTTGATGACACTGACAAAGATCTGGACCGCCGCCCAGAGGCAGAGAAGAGGGAGTGGGGGCACCGGGTTATAGAACGTACGTCAACCCGACAAAAGGCGAGGGCTGCCACTGAAATGAATAGGGACGACTTCGATGGAGTGGGGAACTAGTGATAGGGCATCGTTAAGGGCCGAGCTAGAGCCGATGACCACAGGGGACAACGAGAGACTCCTCCGGACGCATCATCGATCCCTGTCGAAAGCCTCCATCGTATACATTGTCACTTCGCCCTTCGGTAGACGCATTTGGGTGACATCATGCAATGCCCCCGACATTACAGTAGGCGGGCTGGACATCCATATCCTCCCCATAGGGTATCCACTGAAGAACCGTCTTATACCGACCCAAGCAACATCATTCGTACTAGCGCAAAGCTTAGTGCAGGGACAAATCAACCCACGCAAGTTTCTGACAGAGCAAGACCTAGAGTCGTTGCGGATACTGTTCCCGAATGCAATCGGGGCCCAGCTACTGATTTCAGGCTTCCTGCGGATTTTGTTCGATAGCGTCGCAGCCGTGGAGCGGACCAACAACCTAGGCTACCCGAGTATGGTGGGCGAGCTTGTCGTTCTTTTAGATACGGCAAAGTTTAGTGCAACAGCACAGAATTTGAATTCGGGTGCAGCGGTCTCAGATGCAGAGGCAAAATCAGTCGGGTGTCTGGGTTTGAAATTAAAATTGCCAGGAGGAAAGATGGTTTTAACGACGGTGACCCACGCTTATGTGCACAATCCTGCGTTGCCGGTGGTTCTTATGCGTGTTGCAGATTGGGTGATTCGGGCAAAGAACGCAATCTGTCGTTTCCGAAATCCTTCCTTGGACCGGGATTCTCGCGCGTTCGGTGTATCAGACCAAAGCCTATCCAACAATCCGACTGGCAAAGATATTTTTCTCTTCAAAACGAAGAAAAAGGTATTTCTAATCCGAGAGCCATACACTCTCCTTGAGGCGCCACGCTCACCAATATCATAGGTCGGGACAATTACTCACTGCTTCGACAATCCGAGCCCTATACTCCCGTATCCGGTCGGGTACCGACATGACCTCTCTTTAATCGAAGGCGAAGCTCTATCTGAAGTGGTGAGCCCTCCCGGGTATCCGGTCATCTCCGCATGGGCCCGGTACGAAAACGTCCTCGCAGGGGTGCCGTTGTATGCTGTGGCCCTAAATGCCCAAACACAAAACTGGAGGGTAGTGGAAGGGACAAAGGTTACCCCTGCATTGGCGAATGCGCTCCTATTAGGAACTGAGTATATTTGGGATCGTGAGGCGAGTGATCAGGCTGTTGCGATGCTATGGCGATCTAAGGAGGATGTGGACAGTGCGAGAGGCTACTCTGGCTCGGTGCTGTGTACCGGCACTCCGACAGATCAGCATGGCGAAGCTGTCGTTTTTCAAAACTATGAAACCGGTCTAAGAATTTTGGATGGTTCTTTGTTCGCAATAATAAAAGCCGGTTTTCTGTTACCTAGGGAGATCCGTGAGTCGATCATTGTGGTCCCTGAACAGAAAGAACCAATTAGTTACAACACTGTGTGTGGCAAGGGGAGCGTCGTACAAGCAGAAAGACGATTTCCATCAGGTATTTGACCTTTTTTTGCAAAACATCAGTGGCTGGGGCCATGAACTTTGCCATGGAGATATGAGTAGTGGATCGAGGAGGGTTAGGACAACCACGGAGGACACTAAGCATGAATCGCTTTTCTGAGGGTGTTCCGGAAGGAAATAGCTACTATTCTTACCTTACACTGTAGCTGACCTAGTAAAGAATTGTTGCCCTATTGTTTATCTCAATTATGGTACTCCGTCCACATGCACTCGTACTACTTGTGCCAGTTTGGTATGTAGGCACGGAGAGCTTTGTGCAGCAAACCAATGATACACATAAAGCATGAGAACAATCCGTTTCTTCTGCATTATGCTATGGGATTATTGTCTATAAGGGCTAGATGATAATGACTGAAGGCGCTTAGTGTGGAAATATAGATGTAGGTAGTTCACTATCTTCGCCTGAAATGGCATCAATTGTCACAGATATCGACATCCAAAACACGGTCCTATTGTTCCAAAGATCGCCTTTGACTCGGTTTTCGTTACTTATCCTTTAGTTTTAGGGCTACTAAGAATTTTTGATCATTATCGGCCTCGAAGGATAGAATCGTAGTTGAAGAAAATTAAGGTAAGATCCCAGCCTCTACTTTATTTTAGAATCGAGTTTTGTCTCTTATATATCATCATCGAAGCTACAAAAGCGTCGACGGGTTCTATTGTTTTGCGAGAGGAACATTTTTATTAACGCCCGCTAACCTACCCGTATGATACCTACTAGTGTTTTCCAAGGTCTCTAGCTTTTCCTCCCTCTCTTTCTCTCTTAAGATATTGATAGACTGGTCGCCTATAAAGAGGGTGGTTTTTTTTAAAATTCAGTGGATTTTGTGAAGGCTTTTGACGGCACAAAGGTCATAGGATGGAAGAGTTGAACACGCCTCCTATGCTAAGTCTTCTGCTGGATTCTTTCCACTCCATGAGCGTATGTCCGCCTTGGATTTGAGCACAAAGAATGACTGAAGAGAAATCTGAGATAAGGAAAACACTTCGCTAGTCAAAATGAGTCAGCTCTTAAATTGCAGGCTTTGATGGCTGTGATACTTCTTGTCGTAGCAATCCCCAATCTATTCTTGGAACGCATTCAATGAAGATGCAACAACGCTCAATTTCTTTCACCAATTTCCTTAGCATCCAACTATTGCTTATAAAAGGATTACATGTGGCATGGGAATAGAAGAACATTCAAAGAGACGAATCCCCGGTATCATGTGACCGTACATCTCCGAAAGAGGTTGTACGGGCTCGACGCACACGCTGTTTGCAGGACATTGCGGCCGCGTGTTTCCAGCTTGGAAAATACACATTCAGCAAACGTGCGCCCTTGAGATTTGACGAACAATATTGCCTCACTGGCGTTGTACCAGTGAAGGAAGATCCATTCTCGGGCCTCAAAGAGGGCTACACTTCTCACCTGGACCGGCGGGGGAAGGGAAATGATGCGTTTGACAAGGGACTACTAAAGATTCTTCGGATGTTTGCCGACTGGACTCCAGAGCCGAGTGGTGAAAAATCATTCGTTCTATCTCATGCGAACCCCAATATCTTCAACTTTCTTGTTTCAGAGGATGCTTCTGTGCGGGCCATCCTAGATTGGCATGGCGCGGGAGCTGAGCCGCCGAGCATGGGGAATGAGATATATCCACTATGGCAGATGCGCGACTGGGATCCGACCGTATACCTTTGGACCAAAGAGATGGAACATGGAATCAGTGGCAAAGACTGTTTTTTGGAAGACTCACCGGACAAGCTGGAGTTCTATTCGAAATGTCCATACACAATGTATTGCAAATATACGACCAGAAAGCGAGAGTGCCAAAGTGACCCGCAATTCCCCTCTCTTCCACCATTTGATGATGGCAATGGAAGGCTCGATGTGTAGTTTGGGCATTTCGGTAAAGATCCTCGAGGAGGTTGTAAAGCGAGTGGAGAAGAGTGCGGATGATAGCAGCCCTCCTTCATTCAGCCCACCAACAAAAATTGCAAGGACGATGGTGACAGCAAAAACCTTAAGTCTACCAAAAAGCGTGACGCGACAGGCAACCATAATTCACCTAACGAAGCCGAAGATATTGCGGAACATGGTGATATCATAGCGGACATTGATAGAGAAGCCGAAGACGAAGACGAACCCTCCAATGTTTGCGATTTTCTCGAGGGGGTAAGTAGTGACGGTCTAAGTGAGCATCAACAGAAGCTTCTGGGGACGGAGTTTGATGCTTTACATTAGTTTCCTTCGAGGTTGTGGTGTTCGATGTATGTAGTGATGCACGGTGACTTCAAAGAGTGAAGTAATCAAGCATGGTAATTGATGCTGGGGGAGAAGCAAAGATGGCCATTTAAAATTGATAGAAAACAAAAGATTTGGTTTCTTCTTTTGTTCCAGATACTCTCGTCTGTTCTCCAGTGACACCCTATATTGATGTATGGTATGCCTTGAATTTAAGAGACACCTCAGGCAGGAACTGTATGGGGATATCAGTCATATTATGTAATCTATTGTATCAGCCAATGACAACATTAAGACTAACCGATCAAGGGCTTAGGGCTCAACTCAGTCACGCCCCACTTCCTTTTCGCACTTGAGCGGCTTCTGGACGTCACCCACTTCCTTTGATCATCCACCTCATCCGACAAAATGGTGAGTTCTCCAGCGTACCAATATTCAACGGAAAGATACCAATGCTAATCGAAATGTGACAAACAGGCGCCCGCAGCAACTGGAGGCAAGAAGCAAAAGAAGAAGTGGTCCAAGGGCAAGGGTACGCAATCACCACCAACCATGCGATCATGACGATTTCCACCGAGTTCCCACACAAAAGAAATCGTTTGACAAGCTGGGGATTCGAAATAAACACCGAGAAGCAACTTTTACTGACATGTCTTTCGCCCTACAGTCAAGGACAAGGCCCAGCACGCCGTCGTTCTCGACAAGGCCACCAACGACAAGCTCCAGAAGGATGTCCAGTCCTACCGTCTGATCACTGTCGCCACCCTTGTCGATCGTCTCAAGATCAACGGCAGCCTTGCCCGCCAGGCTCTCAACGACCTTGAGGCTAACGGCCAGATCAAGAAGGTCGTTGGTCACTCCAGCCTGAGCATCTACAGTGCGTTCCTCTAAATATCCTTCTCCATCTGGAACCTGCAATACTGATAGCCATTTTAATAGCCCGTGCCGTCACCGCCGAGTAAACGTCTCGTCTCTCGTCTTTTCTCGCGGTTTTCTTTTCCTTGCTACGAATGATATCATTTACCATAGGAAGCCCGGCTGGGCATGATGCATAGTGGATTAACGTCGGACTCTTGAAGAGTGTGGAACATTCGCACTCTTGGCCCACGTCAGGTAGTGCGAACTGAATCAAAAAATCTACAAAACTTCATGAAAAGGATGTGCGTCATATTTCGTAGAATTCTCTCGACATCCACCATCTGCACTATCTACACCAACACAGCAAAAGAATTGCACAAGTAATCCTACGACTCTTCCTTGTCCACTATCGCACTCCTCTTCGGTCGCTGCTTCAGCGCACTCTCACATAGCGGCCACGGCTCCCCACCAGCACCTCCATCACCTACCACCCTCCCAGCCTCAAAATACTTCGCATGATTCGCAAAGAATTCAGTCCACCTCTTTACAGTCGCCCCAACCCGCGCTTTAGCAGCCCGTAACTCCTTCTCGCGACGGATTTTCTTCTGCGCAGCCGTCACACCCTCATTTTCGACATCCTCAACGGGCAGGAACATAATCTCGACACCACGTATGTCATTCGTTAGATCCTCCTTAAAGCAGCCCGTGACAAAAGCGCGTGTTGCGTCCCGCCCCGCAAAAAAGTTGTAGCTCCCGCCCGGTCCGTAGATCATACGGTTTGCCGAGACGTCGAAGATCGTCCCATTCACGGCGACGTAGAGGGGGAGATTGGCGTCTGTACCGTTGTAGAGGGATAGTTGGCTTGATGTCAGGGTAACAGGGCCCTGCTTTATGTTTGAAACATGTGTCAGCTTGAATTGTGACGTGACATCTTTTTGAAAACACGAGGACCGGGATTTGCATACCACCCACTGCTTCACCACCGGCCACCGTGTATACCATGGTCTGTAACCCCATAGCAAGGACTCGGAGGAAGTCATGTAATATGAGAGGCCGCCACAAGCGATCAGTAGGGTCACAATCACACGGATTATGTCCAGCAGGCTTATGCCGTGGGATTCATCGATTTCATCGATTTCGTCGTTGCTAGAGTGCTGTTTGAAATTGGGGTCTTTATCCAGCCCGTTGCTGGACTTTGACGTGGCTGTTGGTCGCTGGCGGAGTTCTGACATTTTCCCCTAACTTGAGTCGATTGAGAAGTTGAAAGATCAGACAATGACCATTCGGATTTTTGAGTTGCACAGGTGGAGGGATTGGCTGACAAAATCCGAGACAATCTTGGAAGTGCTCCCGAGTGGACTGTGACTTGTCCACAACTTCGCTTTAACAAACTATAACAAAGAGAATCTGGTGTGGATTTTCAATATAATTTCTACTATTTCTCCGAGCTGCATTCGTCGCTAAAGATTCAAGATTCTTTAAAGAGATACACCAAGCTTTTTGGCTCTGACGTCAAATTGGCCTCGATTTAATTTCCATCATTTGCTTGCAGTTGCAGAGTCCCCTTCTTGGGTCGCAGACCCTTCTTCCCAGCTACGTGAAAAGACTTCATTCAGAGCGTCTTGGAAAGTACGGCAGTTCATGTCAATCAGACCTCGCTTGTCCTTGGCTTCGGGGTTGCGAATCACCGAAACTAGACAGAGGTACCTATCGATTAAGGTCAGTAGGAAGGAGGGGGAAAAAACACACTTATTGAAAGACTTACTTGTTCATTTCCATCAAATGGATCATGGTTTGATCATGCAACACTACATGACTCTCGGCTTCTTGGATCTGGTCGCCCAATCGCTTGCGAGCTGGGTGATCCCAAGAGTACAACTCGGAGATGTCGACAATCACATCGATATAATCAGAGCACATCTCGTAGCAGGCCATATCAACAGGTCGGGTGTCGGAGGCGATATAAATTTTGCTAAGAACATCAAAGAGGTATGTCTTTTCAAACCCACAGTTGTTGGCGAGTGTGTTGATGAGGTTCTCAAGTGTAGACAAGTTTGGGATCAGCTTTTGAATCACTTTGCTGAAGGCTTCAAACACAGAGTAATCGTAGATGGAAGTCAAATAGTAGTGCACGGGCGCATTCTCATATCCGGCGTCACTGAGCTCGTCGGAGATGCGCTGCACAATGTCCTGGAACGTATCGGTGCGGTACTCGTCTGACAGCCCATCGACCTTGTGAATGAAGACTTCGATGTTTATGCCAGGATAAAACTGCTGGACAGTCAATATGGTGCGGTTGAGTCGTGCCACCGAGTCCAGGTAGTCATCCTGTGCATCGATCACCCAAACCAGAGCGCCCAGGCTGCCGAATATATCCTCGAGGTCGAAGGCAGACTCAAAGTATTCGAGTTGACCCGGGAAATCCCAAACCTGGAAGTCCATAAAAGAGCTACAGATTTCAGTTCAGCAGCAAGCACTTTAAGTATGTCCTTTCTTTGGAACTTACTGGATCGAGTCCTTCTGAATCCGGGTCGTGGACTCCAAAAAGAGGGTCTCATTTGGCGGCATCTTATGGAACACCACACTAGCAATGGATGACTTACCACTCCTAGTACACAGTTAGTATCTCTCTTGTGCGGGAGCTGGCAGACAAAACTTGCCGGCGGAGTCCCATTAAAAGAAGACGAGGTTTAACATCGGGGCCTTTTGTGTTGGGCACAGCGGCCGATTTGGCCCGAGTTGGCGCAGCCACTTGGCTGTTTCCCTGTAAATTACCCAGAAGGCTTAGCTCGGCTTCAGTCTTATGGAATGAGTTTTCACGCCGTCGCTTCCAGAAATTAAACTCACGTCCTATAAAAGGGCCATGAGGCCGGCTCACGCGGGCTACCGGTGAGTCGGACATTCAATCAAACAAAGGGGGCATGCATTTTGGGGGAATTGGAGCAGCAAAAGATAGCCTATGGTTATCAGGATGGAGGGTTTAGGAGTTAGGGGCAGGTCGGAATAAATCAACGCGTCACATGTTGGAGAAAAAGAGGGCATTGGGCAGTCAGCGAACCCAATCAGGCTACCATCTCTTGACATAACAGTGAACGAACCGAGACTGAACACAGAGACCCGTGGATTCAAGATGGCACTATCTTGCAACGGCCCATTGTGATAGCAACCGTAACAGACGTCCCAAAATTGGAAACTCATGTTCCTTGCCTATCTTGCGGCCCATCGGGTGCCTGAAAGGTTCTGGTGCCTCTTTGTCACCTGGGAGACAACAAAGAGGGACCGGAACCAAGCAGCTGTCCCACAACGGCCCGTGCATGGACACACCGGGATGCGGTAACTAACCGTGCTTCGCCGGATGACCCAGCCATAGTTTGAGGCATAATCGGGAGTATGGTTCGAGGGAATCTTTTTGAGAGTGGGAAGTTTCTTACCTCCATTGAACGGGTAGATATCTAAATATGGGATGTTAGAGTCCGCGGTACGGATCAAGAATCGATTGGGTGTACTTACTCCGCAATTTACCTTGTAATAGATGGTGATAACCAGATCAATGCAAGGTCAAAGTTTCTTCGTAGTCACGAAGATAAATGGTAGAAGGAACTGGTCGAGCTGAATTTAACGACAAGGACTGACCGTTAACATCTGCATGGGCTGATCTCGCCTAGGACGGAAGCCGCAAGGTTCCCAGATTTTGCCTGGGATGTTGGTAGAGAGTCGGATATCTGCAGTCAGGCCTGTATCATTGTCTAAGGGGTTGAGAAATTCAATTCAGGACGGAGTAGTGTTGGTTGGGGCGATCGTTGAGTGACCGTTGTGCTGTCCGAGTGCGGGGGTTGGAGTAGCTCGGAGCTTCGAAGCGAGGCGAGGTGCGATCGAGCTGGATGTGCAGCGCGCACGATAGCGCGGCAAGCGATCTAGAAAAGTTGGTCCACAATATGTAGGGCTTTCTTTGATTTGGAAGGGTACTTCTCACGGAATTGTAGCAAGGCAGAGAGGATGGAGGAAGAAGAAGAGCAGAACCAAGGCGGAGTCGTTATCTTATGAGCTTCTATCTTATCGATTCTAATCAGTCACAGACCGCCTTTCCTATTCTGCCGCGATTTACCTGCCTGTCGCAAGGCTATCAACTTCCATCATACACCCCTAGCCCCTTCAACGATGCTTGGCTAAAGCCCAAAAAAATGTTTCCTCTAAAATGGAGGATTTAACTATAAGGACACTGATGGAATTGAAAACAGAAAACTTTTTTGGATTCGTCATTAGCCGACGTGTTCATACAGGGACCTTCCGGTGGCTGTGTCCATGAGCAGCATGTTTACCTCCATGCTGATGACCCAAATAATCACTGATTCGGTGCTTCGCTTGCTTTTGCTCCTCTTCTTTCTCTTCTTCATCTTCTTCTTCTTCTTCTTCCTCGACCTCAAGTCCAGGCCACTCTTCCCAACCATCTTCCCATATCTTCGCTAACTTTTCTGTCTTCTCCTCTCTGCTCATTTTCTTGCTCTTCATCACCTTCTCCCACTTCTTCATATCTTTATCATCTAGGAGACACTCATCCAACAAAGCACTGATCTTGGCAGTGTCAATGCCTTCCCCGATAAACACTAGCTCTTGGCGACGGTCGCCCCAGGGACCTTGGAAATCATTTAGGATAGATTCCCGAACATCCTTGTCTTCTGGCCAATCTTCATCGGGCAGTTCAGCAAACCAAGGTCCACCGCATCCAAGAGTCATCATGCCACCTGCTTGACTCCATTCACCAAATTGCCAGGGCCGGGTCACAAGCCAGAAGAAGCCCTTGGAGCGGAGAACTGGACCAAATGCCGGGTTGGTACGTTTGTTGTTCAGAATGACCGCTGGGTCAGGCTGTTCAAAGTCTTCCACTGACCCGGACTCGGAGTCTGTATCCATTGCATCATCCTCTTCTTGCTCTTCTCCCTCCTCTTCCTCCTCTCCCTCTTCTTCCTCGTCGCCTTCTTCTTCTTCGACTTCATTGTTCTGGAGAATGATGAACTTGTCGTGAAGAAGAGCAAAGAGGCGGCGCGAGTGGAAGGGTCGACGAGCTGTATAGACGAAGTTGTTGATACCGTACCTATATCGGTGAGTAAAATATTCCTGAATACAGAACTGGAAACTTACTCCAAGGTCTCTGGCTTCGGTGCCAGCCGGTCACCGTTACCTGTCGACTGTATCGTCATTTCGTGCAGACTTCGCAGCCATCCAGGACCAGAAGCGGCACGAATAAAATCAAACTTGTTTGTGTTGATGATTTCCCGAACGTCTATTTGAGAGTAATTTGACTCGAGAATCTTTGCGGCTGGGTTCAATAGCTTCAACAAATGCAAAAGCTTCTCACGTGTTGCTTGGTCAACTGTCTCGACCTTGTTGAGAATCAACACATCGGCGAACTCAATCTGATCCACCATGAGATCAGATATCGTACGTTCATCCTCAGGGATGATCTCTTCTCTTCCATAGCGGTCGGAGAGGAACTCTGCTGTATCGAAACTGGAGAGCAAGTTAAACGCATCGATGACAGTAACAGTCGTGTCCAACCGAGCCATTGTGTGCAAGCCACCTAATTCCACACTACGTCAAGACATGTTAGTCAGTCCACGTTAAGGGAAGATATAGTGGGGAAATGATACATTTCGTTCAGGATCTTCTTGGCGTCGGGATCATCACTTGAAATCTGATCTTCCGCTTCCAGCATGGCCGAGCTAAACTCAGATGTGAAAGTCTCGGCCACTTGCATAGGCTCGCTTATGCCAGTCGATTCAATGATGACATAGTCAACCTCATTTCGCTTGGTCAGAGCAGCCAGCTCCGACAACAAGTCTCCACGAAGAGTGCAGCAGATACATCCGTTTTGCAGGCGAATAAGCTTCTCAGTAGTCTGCGAGACTTTGTGGTTTTGGATGAGGGTAGCATCAATGTTCAGTCTAAAGGACCGGGGCAATTAGCGTACAGTCCTTGGCTTCCCCTTCAAGATGCAACTTACTGACTCATATCGTTGACTATGACAGCAATTCGTAACCCATGGTCAGGGGACTTGAGGATGTGTTTGAGGAGTGTTGTCTTGCCACTTCCCTATACCTGTGTGTTAGTGTCCGTGGGCATGACTCCAACTTCACAGCATTGCTTTTTATTCCATACCAGGAAACCCGAGAGCAAGGTAACGGGCATCTGCCGGGTCTTGGGCTCTTCTTCCGTAGGAGCCGCGACATCATAAGTGACCGAGTCTTTTCCAGAATCGATGACCATTGTGAAGGTGGTTCCCCTTTTATGGTAGAATATGCACAAGACGAAAGAGAAAAGAAAAGAAAAAGAAGAAAAATAAACTAAGCTTCAGAGGAGTCTAGGGTATCACCTTATATAGGATCTTGTTTTCCCAAGGCACCGTCTCCAAGTTCCTCATTCTCCAACATTGCAGGTTACATTTCTGATGTACTCCGTCGTAGAAATGTCAATACAGGGCCTCCGAGGTGGATAGTATACCAGTGGAGCCATAGCTGAACCAATGAAAGGAAAGATTTCAAATGGCGACAATAATTGCAGCGTTGTAAGTGGCCGGCAGAAAGCGTCCACAAGGTCCCTGGGTGGCGCCGCTGACCTTCACGGTCCTCATTTGACGAGATTGGTTTTTGAAAGACAGGTATTAGGGGAATTGTGATTGGGCTTTTAGTTTCTTAGTTTTTTGACTGATCAGATTTCTGAAGAATCCTAGAATCCTACTGGTAGAGGTAGGGTCAGACCACTCCGTAGATCTGGGATAGGATAAATTACATCCCTCCTCCGGAAGTACAACATAGTGAGCCCACATCGAAGGAACACAAAGCTTTGACGATGTTATACTCCATACTCCAGGGACTACACTGATACCTAGGCCATAGAAATTATCTCCCATCAATAATCATCAAAACTCGTTTTAAGGCACAAATCCCTCGTCAACCACCCAAGATGACCGACCTGGGAACCTACACCAAACCCCTAGCCTACCTCGGTCTCTTCACCCTGGGAAAAATCGCAGTCTCCATCACCCGCCAAGCATCAATTTTCCTCCTCCCAAGTACCCTCCAACGCTACAACCGTACTAAAACAAACTGGGCCCTTGTCACCGGCGCAACGGATGGAATAGGGTTCGGCTTCGGTCAGGAGCTCTGCGCGCGCGGTTTCAATGTGATCCTACACGGCCGAAACGCCGAGAAGCTCGAGCGCCGTCGTCGCGAACTACAGACGCTGTTCCCCGAAGTCTGTGTTGCTGTACTTGTGCGCGATGCGCAAAATTTGACTGCCGATATTGATGATGTTGATGCGGAGGTCCGCGATATTATTCGTCGCAGTAATGAGACTATCCGATCCGAGCGTGATCCCGGCCGGTTAACGGTTCTTATAAATAATGTTGGTGGGGAGATGAGGCCTTCGACTCTCCTGAAGGAGTATACCTTTGAGGATGTGCAGGCAACCATTTCGCGGAATGCCACGTTCGCGGTTCAGATCACCCGTGTTCTGGCGACACAGCTGGAAGAGAATGCGCCTGGTCTTGTGATGAATGTGTCTTCGGTTGCGGCGTTTGGATTGCCATATATCAGTATTTACAGCTCGACGAAGGGGTTTGTGGATTCTTTCACAAAGTCGCTGCGCGCGGAGTTTGCCGCTGAAGGGAAGAAGGTCGAGGTGATGGGGCTGCGAGTTGCCGAGGTTAAAACCGCTGGGTATAATGTGAAGAGTAACTTGTTTGTTCCTGAGGCGAGAGTGCTGGCTGCTGCTGCCTTGGATCGGGTTGGGGGTGGGCAGGAGATTGTGTGGGCTTACTTTTGGCATTGGTTACAGGGTCTGTCATTTGAGTATTTACCGCGCTGGATATTGATGAAGATTACGGCAATGAAGATGAAGGAAATCAGAGTAGATCTGGACGCTAAGGCGAAGAGCAGCTGAGATGGCTGCTGATCAGTTATGGCGCTGGCTCTCTACCTCTCGCTCAGCATATGAAGATGCCCGAAAAAAGGAATAGTTGCAATCAAATCCCACATCATTATAGTCTATAGAATGTCTAGAAGCCAGCCGGGGCCTTCTCACGATCGTCTGGGCCGTGTAGCCCTGCGCCAAGGTTCGATGTGCACTCGACTTGCCAGTCCTTTGGGGTGAACTTGTCGACAATCTCCTTGAAGGCGTCCAAGGTACAGAACGTCTCATCGCCAGGTAAATGGTTCTCGGGCTTAGCAGCACAACCGGGGATACGGACGGGTTGGTCATTGTAGCGAATACGGACGTAGTGCTTCTGGAGAGACTCGCGAGTGCCTTCGGGTAAAGATTCCAGAGGCGCGCGTGCAGTATCGGAGGTAGTGGGTTGCTTCGGTACAGACTTACCGAACAGCTGGGAGAAGACACCAGGTTTCTTAGCTGCGATGGATGGGTTGGAGAACTCCTCGAGCATGATGCCAGCGTTGGAATCGGAGCGGGATGCCAGGGAGAAGAGCTCAACAGCAACAGACGATGTAAATGGAGGCCACGACTGGTTCTGAAATCCACCGACACTAGAAAGGATCGCGGCCAGGGTGGTGTCGTGGCAACCACTCAGAGCAAACTTGATAGCCTTGCCAGTCTCCGGGTTGCCTGACCCGGACGCAGCGGTCTCGCTACGCCAGCCGCCCTCCACAGCGGTGCTGACCATGCGGTCAACCACATCACCCATGAGAGCACCAATTCCCAGCTTACGGTACTCGCTGCTCTCACCGTAGCCAGCAAACCATTCCTCAACCGCAATTCGATCCAAGACAGCACGACCCTTCTTGTCATAGAATTCAGACGGCAGCTTGGTGGCTGAGCCATGCGCATCGGTTGCATTGATGGTGTCCATAATTCCAGAAAGACGGGGGTGGGAATCGACAGCAACCTTGGGCGATTCTTCGGGCATATACTTTGACCAGAGGCTGTTCAAGTACGCCATTTGTTCAGAGTCGTTCCCTGCATTTAAATTGTTAGCAGTGACCATGATCTGCATGTCCCCCCGAAAAGCCCATACATCGTGCAGCGGCGCGGTCGGCAAAAAGCCGGGCCAGCTGTCGGAATCGTCTACAATTTCCCTCGTTAGGGAATAGTGTCTCCTCATTGACCTGGCGGGCTACAATCACCGGCGGTGGGAAGTCAAGCGTGCGCGCGCTAGCCGGGTACATGCCCCAAAAGGCCTCCTGGAGCGACTCCAGAGCTCGGGGGATCGGCGTGGCGCGCAGATACATATCCTCGGAATCGCTCTTGATCTGAGGCATGAACCCGAGCTGGTCGACGTAGAGGTGGCGCAACCGTTGTCCGAGCGCATATGTCGTCTCACGACCCTTGTCTGTGAGCTCGCCATGCAAGCTTCAAATAGCATGATTTAGCTTTTCTTCGCGTGCATATCAGAGCTCCGTGGCAACTTACCACATCGCTTCGACTGCTCCTCCCGGTCCTGTTATGGTCACCGACTGGTCACTACTGCCGAATGACTCCATTTTCCGGCGCCATTGGAACCCGTTCCATTTCGAGAGGTCTTTGCTGCTCGAGGCCATCTGGACCATGCGTCTTGCAACGCCGCAGTACGGCCAGTCTTGTCACGGCAAAATATTAGCACATCACTGGCACATCTCGGCATCAAGGAGATTGGCATACTTGGACTCAGACCTGTCTTGGGGAAGTGTTAGCGGAAACCGTCGGAGAGCGGGTTTGGGGGATGGGAGTTGTCAATTGCGGCATACGTTTGTGAATCGCGATGAGACGGGTGTACGTTCACCTAGGATCATTTAGAAATGCTCTCAAGGGCAGCATTGTAAATGTATTTCTCACCATGTCGAAGAAACTGTAGTGGTCAGCTATGCGTATTCGCCAATGTGGGGACCAGAACACTTACCACTTGTACCAACTGTAGCTTCAGAGCTGCCGGGTACAGGCGAGCGAGCTCATCATTTGTATAGGGCTCACGAGGAATCAGGGTGGTCATCTCGATTCAACAAAGAGATCTCCAGAGATATCTAGGAATCTATAAAAGGGAATCGAGTCAGGAAATAAACGGTCCCCCGTGGGGGCGGTGAGGATTTGTTGGGGTAGGTCCATAACGATAAGCCATTTGTGTCGACCTCCAATGAATTACACACTCTCTGTGCTACTATCAAGTAGTTGAAGGGCACTAGAAGTGGAGATTTATTCCCTTTGGGTTCATCGGCGTCCATAAAAAAAACAACACGGGGAAAGCTAGGAAAAGCTAAGAACCCCCCAAGAAGAACGGCAGTATGTGGTCTCCGCATCTCGGCAAGTTCGCCGAAGCGTACGGAGCCTCGGACAAGTATGCCCCGAGATGGAAAAAGCTCTTCCGAGCTATGCATATTTGGCATAGTATAATATATACAGTTAGGAACACTCCTCGTAGTCACTCGTCTCCCATCCCTCCTCACTTTCACTGGCACTCCAGACAGATCGAGTGGGCGCAGTCTGGACATCGCTAGTCTCAGTTGCTGCAGCTGCAACTGCCGCAGCGGTAGCAGTAGCCATTTTCTTGGCCAACTTCTTATTGTTCTTCGCCTTGCGAGCATTCTCTTCTTCCTGGCGCGTCTGCTTCACACGCTCAGCTTCCTCGGTCGCCGCTCGCTCCAAGAGTTCAATGAGCTTCTCCAGTGCTGGTGCATATGCTTGCGCAAGGGCAAAGTCACCAACCTTGATGCGCATGAAGTCCATCGCTCCGGCAACGGGGCCAGTATACCCGCCGAACTTTTGGCCAGCTCCCCCGGAGTTGATGTCGTCGGACAGTGGGGCGTCTTTGGAGCCCACTAATTCATCCTGAGGGTCGTCGAATGGGATGTCCGCATCTGCGGGCTCCTTTGCAGCTGCGTCCCGGCTAGACTGTAATTTGCCTGGGGTTCGCCTATCTACAAAAGCTATCTTTTGGTAGCGCTGACTGAAGTGTGTGAGCAGGACAGCACGCGCTTGCATGCGGCGACCGACTTCGATTGCCTCGGAGGAGGTCGAGTGCCGCTTGGCCCTAGCCGATCCGACCATGTCGTGTTGAAAAGTAGCCTCGTGGATGAGCACGGTTGAGCCCTGTCCAATGATGGCAAATTTATCCGATGGCCTGCAGTCGCCAGAGTAGGAAACCTTGAATCCATTCGAGAAGACAAAAGAAACAGCGAGCGCACCCTTGCAATGTTTGACGCGGCAAGTGAGTAGATCTGCAAGGCCGGTGGCAGACTTGAGAAGAGGAGTGAGTGGTGACGATTTGTCCGTGAAATTAACAGCTTGGCGATGACCATTAGGTAGTTGGTGTGAGAATGTGGTGATGATTTGAGAACCATTAAATTCAGGACGGGCGGAAAGAGTAAGCAATTTGTCGAATCCGAAGTCCTCGACCTGTGAATATTCTTCCAACCAGGAAATCATTCCATCATCAGACACAACAGCCAGACGCTTCTCCTGGAGAATCTTGGCCATATCAGTTTCACGTCTAAGTGCCGAGCCAGAACCACTCTTGAAGTTCTCTGTGTGCCAGGCCTTGATCACAGAAACCGTTCCTAGGTGATGATCTGCGTGCAAATGACTGATCCAAATCATTCGCAGATTCTGAAGCACTTCGCGGAGTTCTTCAGGCTCAAAAACTCGCTTCAGTTGACCAAGAGTATTCTCGCCACAATCAAGCAGATAGTAGCCATATCCAGGCACCTTCAGCAGTGTGGCAGAAACATTTCGGTATTTGGAGGGAACAGAGGAACCGGTACCTAGCGCAATGATCTCTGCATCTGCTCCAGGCCATTGTGTCCGTTGCGCGTGCAACTTTTTCTGGAATGCAGGCTTAGCGACGCGTTGGCGAATGACTTCCATCCGTTGCTCAACGGAACGTGGGATGGTATGCAATGCATTCGCTGGGTTGAAGCGGGACATCACCTCGTCCCTGTTGAACCCAAAACTGGGCTCCATGTTGATGATGAATCCAGGTTCAAGGGGCTGCAATGGAAAATCACCGCGAGCAGCAATTGCAGATTTTGAATTGGCATTAGGAGTTCCGGGTTGGGGAAGAGACACATTGTCGTGAACAGGAACCGCATAGCTGTCGCTTTTCAAACGGGCGAGTCGAACAGTCGAGCTGGCAGAGCTGGTAAACGCAAGATAGTTCGGGCAATGGTCTGTGCTCGACACAGTGTGCTTGCAGTGGGACATGCTGGCAACGAACTCCTGAAATCTAGGATGTTCCGCCACCCCTGGTCCAAGAATCCAGATGAAGGCTTGCAACTCGGTCGTCACAGCTGGTGACTTCCATTCGGCCCGAGTAACCAGGTCCTCGACATACTCCGACGATGGCACTTCCATGATGGCAACACCTTTTCCGGATCGCGTCTGTCCCAAAACCATTTCTGGGGTGACAATCTTTCCATCCAGAGATTGAACACTCTCGCCCCTCGTCAACGCTGCGTACTTAGCACCCTTCTCAACCTTCAATTCTTCAGCCTTCTTTGGGTCGAACTTTCCGCGAATATCGTGGTTCCGCACAATATAGCAGACTGCCTCCTTCGAAGGAGACGTGATCGGGAGACTGTCTACAGTAGCACCGGGCCAGGGCTTTCTAACGAGCACCTTAATGTCTGGAAGCGCGTCTGGGCCACCCGGCACCGGACCTTTGTATTGCTCAAGGTCCTTGGTCTCTGGATTGCGAATGAATATGGCGGCCGGCATCTTGACCTCGGCCAATGGGGTTTCATGGAGGGCATCCATCTTCCATGTTGAGTTGAACATATCCTGCACAATGGACTTCGTCACGATCAGATTCTTAGTACGCTGGTCCATTTGAGCTTCGGTCTGTTCGGATTCCTGGAACTCGTCCAAGCTCCGCTTTCGTGGACTCTGTGACAGCGGCTGCATGACTCGAGGACGAGCCGATGGATGAGGGTTAATAGGCAGGGCCCACACCTTGATGTTGGAGTCAGACCATGAGGGCTTCTCAAAGGGATCCTCGGCGCCGATAGACGTCCGCTTGGCGAGTGTCTCCGAGTCATATTCTTTCAAATACACCGGCATGCCCTTCCGGAAAACAAAGCGCCGAGACGTAGCGAGTGTATGTGTAAGATTCACAGAACCATGAATCGTCAAGTTGCCTCTCTGCAAGACCACCTCGCCTTCCCGTTCCACAGTTGCCCTGCCATGTTGCTGAGGTGCGCGGGTTTTGAGTTTAATATTTTCTTCAACCTCCCTTTGCGCCCTACGGGCAGCCTTTTTCCGATTTTCCTCCTCGACGGCCGCCATAGAGGTTGACACCGTATCGGCAAGGGTCAAAATAATCCCAATCAGCCCGCCTGTGTTGGCCCATTCTGTACGTCCTGTGACAAACACATCGGTGAGGAGGGAAAGCTTGACCCCGCGCTCTGTGCATGCCCGCTGTATTCCTTCCGATAGCTGACCGAAAAAGTACCGCTTGTCCGAGAAGTTGAGGCAAACGGCCGTGCCGGGGGTATCGGCCGTCGGGGTCGTGATGACCTGGTAGAAGAATTTCATTGGGGCAATTCCTGCTAAAGGTACAGGCAGGGAGGTGAGTTCAAGCTTGGATGGTTCACAGATCAAATAGTCGTCGCTGTTGGGCCGTCGTCTTCTTGAGACCGGACTAGCTGGAAGAAAGTATGCGTTTGGGTTGATTGTAGGTTGTCTAATTCGAAGTGGTAAGGGTTTCTCTTCGGATTTCTTTTTGTCCGCTAATTGCGCCAAAGATTTAGGGTATTTGAAGCTACTCGAGCTCAGTTTTGAATAACCGGGGATTCGTGAGTCACGGTTGCTGGCGCTGTGATACGATCGTAGGGTGGATGGCAAAATTGAGGTTCGAGGGAACGCGCTCCAGGCGACTGCGCGAGTTGTTGCGGTTGACAGAGCACCGCGCACGCAAGAGGAAGCCAACTTGTCTAGAATGGAGAGTATTGAAGGGAAAATGGGTGATTAAAGGCCCCTAGGTGTAGTAATGTCAAGGAGTAGGAAATTGGTGGATCCTCACGTTGGAACGAAAAAAGTGATGGTCGATTTTTGCATGATGGCCGGGCAGAAAATCCATTTGGACCGCTATGGATGTCCTTTTTAATTTGCATAGCACAATACACAGCTAAGTTGTGTATAAAATTTAACCCATTTAGTAAGAGGATTGTACTGTTAAACACCTTCCTGAGGCTCGACATACTTGGATGTTTCATTTATGCTCAACGCATCAACGATGTACACAACCCTCAAGCATGCAACACATGACCATGACACCATTTTGACAATTTGACGAGCATTCTATTCGGCTAGACTACATCCAGAGTACGAGCTATGCAATAAAAATCAGACATTCATATGGCCGTAAAAATCAAGGCTTGGACTTTTACTCAACAGATCCTTCAAATACGCCAGTAAACTAACCTCCAAAATCCCATCGAGAAGGTCCGTCGTGGGAAATACACGATGTATAGTAAGAGATAGGCGCCTTTAAAACTCCCCAGGAAAAATAAAAAAGCAAAACAAAGGAAAGACAAACCCCCATGATTCGAAAAAGATGACAGGGGGTTTCACCGTGGGTGTGTAGTCACAAAACGATGACGAAGAAGAAAAGAGGAAACAAATATACAAAGAGAGAGGGGCCGAATGGGCAAGACGCTAATGGGGAATCACCAAAGATGGGACGTGACAGCTGAGACACGCTCGAATGCAGCGTCAATGCTGTTGCAGAGAGCGTGGAAGGTTTTCTTGGCCGAATCGCTAACTTCAGAGTTGTCAACGACGAGTTGAAACTGAGCAGTCTTCTCGGTCGACACACCTTCGAATGCGATGTTAGTAACGGGGGCAGGAGAATCAACAAAGAGAGCAAAGGCAGGATCAGACTCATCAATCTCGACATCAGGGTTGGCAGCACCAATGTCGGACTGGCTGGGCGAGTCGCTAGCAGGACGGTCGACGATAGGAGCCTCATTCTTGGAACTCTCGGGGATGCTGAAAGGAGAGAAGGGTTTTCCAGACAAAACCTGAGCATCCAAGGCCGGGCCCTCGGGAACCTCCATGACAGCAAAGACGGGAGTGTTGCCGTAGTTCATGTCAATTCCCGAGTTCCAGCCGCCGTTGTTCATGCCCATACTGGAGGGGTCCATACCCTGGTTGGGAACCATGACCATGTTGGCCTGGGGGGTTTGCTGCATCTGGAACTCTTGGCCACGGTTGGCGTTCGTGTCCTTGGGCATACCCTGCATGTTGCGCTGCGGTGCAGCCTGCTGGGCTTGTTGCTGAGGTTGTTGTTGTTGTTGTTGAGATTGCTGCTGGGGTTGATTGGGCATTGTGTCACCTATATCGTTCAAGAAGTTGGAGAAATGAGGAGAGCCCAGAAGCATGCGGGCCAAGTCGTTCAGGCGGGCATTCTCTTCATAAAGAGCGCGGTTCTGGAGGCGAACCTCGTGGGCCTCATTGGTTCTAGCGGCCACCTCACTTTCAAGCTGACCAATGTATTCTGGTAAGAGACATTAGCAAAAAAGGACATTGGAGATAGGTTCAAGTGTTTGGAGAGTCGTACCCTTGCGGCGAGATCGGAAAGCGCGAGCGGAGACCTTGTTTCGCAACTGGCGGCGCTCTTTGCTGCTGAGTTTCTTGCCCTCCTCGCTAGCGAGAAGGCGCTCATCTTCATCCATATCGGCCTCATCCTTCCGGGCCTTGGCCATCTGCGGCATACCGTTGGAGGGACTGGGGGAGCCCTCGCCATTGGCCATTGCATTCTGGCGCATCTGTTGAAGTAGACGGGAAATGCGCTCCTCAACCACAGGGTCAGGATTTCGGGGACCGTGGACTTGAGGCACAGCATCGGGCAGTTGATCCGGACGCTGCTGTATCTGAAGGCGGACCATCTCGCTTTGCTTCTGTTGTTGGGCCTTGGCCATCGCAGCCTGCTGCTGATGCATGCCGGGGTACATGCGACCGACCTGTGTGGATGGACCAGCCTGAGCCAGCTCATGGCCTCCGAGAGCGTTGGGATCGACGTATTGGTTTTTGTTTCCAGGGTTTACCGGGTAGAAGTATGACGAGGGGTTCATGTTTTCCGGATCAATCTCCATGTCCGACGGGTTCCGGCGCGGTGCAGTGTTGAAGTCAAATTGGGCATTCTCTCGCTTCATGTGATGACCAGCATACACCTCGGCGTTCACGGGAAATCCTGGACCATTGTTAAAGCCCATCGGGACCTGACTGTAGGACATGGACAAAGCACCGGGCGGGAGGCCAGTCTGTTGTCTGTGTTCGTCATACTGGTGACTTGGGGCCTGAAATGCGAGGGGAGACTGGCCACTTGAGGCAAAGCTGGCACTGCGGGCGTCACTGGCACTGAACTCGGTGCTTGCGACCGACGGTTGGCTGACCATAACCTTTGAGCGGGAGGGATCGGCTGTGTAGTTGAGTTGATCGAAGTTGATGAATGATTCCAGATCCTGGTCATAGTTTGCAACCGGCTGCATCGAATGTTCCGCAAGAGTCGCCATGGTGATCTGAAAAAGGCTGTCCCTCGAATGTGTAAAGATAGGGTTAATTTGGCGTGAGATGTGGCGTGAAATATGGATGTGGGGGGTATAATTGAGATGGATTGAACGAGAGATATAAGGATATGAATGATCCGAAAAACGAAGGTCTAATGGAATATGGATCTAGATGGATAATGAAACTGGTAGAGAAATGGGGAAAGGGACAATGTGTTCCGGAATAGCAACAGGGGATTGCGCGTCCTTTCTGAGTCAGCTGGGGACTCATGAAAGTAACTCCGTGATTGGTTAAACTGCCACCCTATGGCAGGTTATTTACCATACCGTATCACTGTATCCAGAGAGCGTTTGAAATGCTCAGATCTTTGCTTCGAAACATTCGGTATTGTTAAACGTTTCATCTACTCTCTTCTAGTGATAAACCGGTTGCTTTAAAGCCGTCTTCATTTGAAGCCTTATATGCGATAGTCTGGTAGATATTCAATAGTCATAACACTTCCCTATTCATTGTCTTTCGCTAGTCACAATGTTATTAATGGGCCAATCTTAGGGCAAGAAGCATCTGATCCGAATGGCCGTGGGGTAAAACTTACCAGCGCTCGGGGTTGCTACAGGTGTATTGTATTGTACGTGTACCTTTTTTGGTCCCTTTCATGACGCAAGTGGCTGTGTACCTGATTATCAAATATTGCCCGATCTGGTAAATTTTACATTCCTGTTGACTTCCATGTTGGGTTGGATCACTTGGAGGTATGTGAGAATATCTCAATGGATTTAAGGCCTGAAAGCTCAACCTTTAAGAAAATAACTTATCAACCTTGTTCGGACTAAGACTAGCTATCATCGCTAGCGGCTTTCGGAGCTGGGCCAATTATTTTGAGCGGCCTCAGCCACAGGTGCCCTAAGCAGTGGGTTCCCGAACTGAGCAGGTTTCTTTCTGGTACTTTGTGCAAAAAGTGCTTTTTGTATCACACAGCATGCGTTGAGCCCCCGACCTATAATAATACTTGGGATGCACTCCGTATTTGTGTGCACATATGCCAAGCAGATTGAGATCCACGGTGCATTTTCCATGTTCCTATGCATTGACAAGAATCCCTTGTTTCATCCAAACGAGGATATACGTACGCCGACGTCTCGCCAGGCCCCCTGAACCGGGTAAACCACGGCGAACCAGTCAGAGAAGTAGATTCAGGAGTCCATTCTATCCTCGTGTGAGATTCGCAATAAGCTTTCGAAGTTGAAGCGGGGCAAGAAAGGAGCAAGGAGAATGATTGCGATCATTTAGGCTCGGTGGATCCTGCTCACGTGACAAGCAAGTCCATTCCTAATTAGGCTAGCCGGTCCGGCTTTTATAAAACACTAAATCTCTTCCAGTCGATCCCCGAGGTTATGTGCTCAAGTGCAATCAACTGTACGGAGTACGGAGTAATATCCATGGATGAATTCTAAGCTTGAAACCCAAGAACTTTCCTTCTTTTCTATAGACTTCCCTGTTTGGATTTCCCCTGAACCTTAACGCGCAAAATCGTGGACAGGGCAGACACAGTGGAGTTACTCATATTGTACGGTGTACCCCTTTTCGTTTTTTCGTTTTCATTCGAAAGCCCAATTTTTCTCTGTGCCTCGAATCTTTGACGGCTCTCTTTTCATTCAGTAATCATCTCGGGCTACTCTGTAGGGCTGACACCGATTGCCATTGATCCCCGGCCGCGAAAAGTGACCGCGAGCAAAGAGGCTGAGTTGATCATGCATCTCAGGGCCACAACAACCGCACTAGCTGTATTATTTTGCTTATTAAGATAGACACTAGCAAAACATTGCAGTATTTCACCAAAGTTGATAACGCCGAAACAGACTCGAGTCAAACTACTTCCTTTTTTTAAAGATTACGCAAGAACGCCTCTCGTGCAGATCATTTTATCAACTGTCCGGAGTTCGAACAGTGGATCTATGCCATTAACTCGATCTTCGTCACGCCGCGGCAAATGCTCCTATGCCATTGATAAGTTTTGCCTGATAGGAGCTGCATATAACTGATTCTCGTGTCATGGGTCGGTTTGAAAAGGGAGTCTCTGCCATATTTTCCAGCATTATTTAAGTGGGATATCTACGCCTCAATATTTCTATGCAATTAGATACGTTTGAACTATATATCTACCTTCGACCCCATTATTTAGTTACCTAATTTCTTCAACTATAAAGGCTTACCATGCCCTAATCTCTCGACTCTTCAAGCCTCTAGACTCTTCGCTGTAAATTTTTGGCAAATGGTCTATTTGTTGTCTGACGACTCGTTCCACATCCGCTCAAATTTCAAATGAGCATAGGGGTGTTCGAGGCTCTTTAACGCTTTAGTAAAGATGCAGACATTAAGATCCAGATCTAGATCACGCTTGATTGTAAACAACGATTAGAATTTTGGTTGTGTCGCAACTACAACAACCAACTAGGGATCATGATCAGTCGGTCTGGACTTTTCATGGAGCAGCATGCTCGTCGTATTCTCCTTGGTCTCGGCTTCAAAGAAGACGGATTCGAGAGGAAATTATCTACGCTCTCAGGTGGTTGGCGTATGCGATGTGTGCTAGCCATTATTCTGGTCCAAGATCCCGATATTATGATCCTCGACGAGCCAACCAATTTCCTGGACCTTCTGGGAGTAGTATGGCTGGAGAACTACCTGAAACAACCCCACGACACATCAGAGACAACCCTCGTCTTGATCTCACACGATAGGGATTTCGTCAATACTGTCTGCGAGGAGATTGTCATCCTCAGAGACCAGAAACTAACTTATTTCCGAGGAAACCTGTCGGCGTACGAGCAAGATTTCGAGGAACAGAAGCTTTACTTGGGACGCATGAAGGAGGCCCAAGAGCGGCAGGTTGCACATATGGAAGCTAGTATCCGGGAGAACATGAAGATTGGGAAGAAGACCAATGACGAAAACAAGCTGCGGCAAGCTAAGTCGCGGCAGAAGAAAGTCGATGATCGGATGGGTCTACAAGTCAGTGCCAACGGGGGGCGTTTCAAACTGAATCGTGATCTAGTCGGATTCCATCTCCATAGTCGAGCTGAGATCGACATCCCGACAGATGAAAAGGGCGCGACTATGAGTTTGCCCGATGCGACGGAGTTGCGGTTCCCCGGACCATTGGTATCGCTTGAGGGTCTTGTTTTCCAGTACAAGAAAACTGACCGCGTCATCCTGGACAATGTGAACTTGGTCGTTCACCTGGGCGATCGTGTCGGGATCATGGGCCTTAATGGCTCGGGGAAGACGACCCTGCTCCGTGTTCTGACGGGGCATGTATGCCCTTCCAAGGGCAAACTGTCAATTCACCCCCGGCTGAAAGTGGGTTACTATAGCCAGCATTCCGTGGAAGAGATGCAGGAGCGTTGCCGAGGCGACCCTAGTTTAACTGCACTGGGATTATTTACGATTGAGACCGAAGGGTCCCTGAACGGGGGCGCTATCAGAGGTCTACTTTCTTCTATGGGGCTAGCAGGTCGTGTTGTATCTGATGTCCCTGTTGCCAAACTATCAGGTGGACAATTGGTATGTAAAATGTGAAACAATTGAATCCAGCTAACAATCCTGTCAAATCTAGGTCCGCCTTGCATTAGCTCGAATCGTCTGGGATGCACCACAGCTTCTCATTCTAGATGAAATTACCACGCATTTGGATTTCCACACTGTCACTGCATTAGCTACAGCTCACTCCTCCTTCAATGGCGCCGTGCTTCTGGTTTCACACGACCGTTTCCTTGTTCGTTCTGTGATTGAGGGCAAACGAGACACCAAGTACAAACTTGACGAAGAATTCGAAGGACTCGACGAAGAGACCGACGAAACGCCAAGGCGTCGATCGATCTATGTGATTAAACAAGGCAAGATGAACGAACAGAAAAATGGGGTGGAGCAGTTCGAAAAGAGCCTGGTGAAGCAGGTGCAGAAGTTGTTGCCAGCTATGGATTAGTTGATGTAGTTGATGCGATGACCAATCAAAATGAATATATAGTGACTCAGCACGGAGCCCGCCACGAAACATGTGCGATAAGAGACATTCCCCTCATTCCTCCGCGGAGTACCTCTTAGAATAAATATTCGCCTCCAACATGCAACATTATACCCCTTGAAAGAATTCCCTCATGGCTGGCTCATGCAAGCGAATTTGGTCTTGCTCTAGGGCTGCCCGCCCGTGGGGTATACAGACTCGAGTCCAGAGTACTCGCGCCGCATCAAGACCTGACGCAATCGTCGCCTCCCCTGAATTACCTCCTCCGCACATATCAACTGAATCCTCCAAACTGTCAAAATTCAAGTCTGTGAAGCCCTTCTCCGAGTTCCTCACCGATACCTTTAATCGCCAACATGACTATCTCCGCATCAGCATTACAGAACGGTGCAATCTTCGGTGTCTGTACTGCATGCCCGAGGAAGGCATAGACCTTTCGCCCTCTGCGAAACTGCTGACGTCCCCGGAGATCCTATACCTGTCCTCACTGTTCGTCTCACAAGGCGTGACCAAAATCCGATTGACGGGCGGGGAGCCGACAGTCCGAAAAGACATCGTGCCGTTGATGCAGGACATTGGCAAGCTGCGACAAAATGGGCTTCGGGAACTGTGTCTGACAACCAATGGGATCTCATTATATCGAAAATTAGACCCGATGGTAGAAGCCGGGTTGACGGGAGTCAATCTTAGCCTGGACACGCTGGATCCGTTCCAGTTCCAGATCATGACACGTCGCAAGGGATTCGATGCTGTGATGAAGAGCATCGACCGCATTCTGGAAATGAATCAGGTCGGTGCGGGGATCAAGCTGAAGATTAATTGTGTTGTTATGAGGGGAATGAACGACCGAGAGATCCTCCCGTTCGTGGAACTGGGCCGCGAGAAACCGGTTGAAGTGCGCTTCATCGAGTACATGCCTTTCGGTGGGAACAAATGGAACCAGGGAAAGATGTTCTCGTACCAGGAAATGCTGGCTGTCATCCGAGAGAAGTATCCCACATTTGAAAAAGTGGCCGACCACAAGAATGACACGAGTAAGACATACCGTGTTCCTGGATTCGAAGGGCGCGTGGGATTCATTACGAGCATGACACACAACTTCTGTGGTACCTGCAACCGGTTGCGCATTACTAGTGATGGGAATCTCAAAGTCTGCCTGTTCGGTAACGCCGAGGTCTCATTGCGGGATATCATTCGCAAGGAAAACGGTGGAAACCCAATTGACGTGGATGCAATCAACAATCTACAACTGTTAGAAACAGTACAAACTTCCGCACGCCTTAGTGACAAAGGCGGCTTGGTGAATGAGCGAGAACGTGAGATCCTTGACATCATCGGCATGGCTGTGAAACGAAAGAAGGCGAAACACGCCGGCATGGCGCAACTGAAGGATATGAAGAACCGCCCTATGATCTTGATCGGTGGGTAGTCATGTTCTTTCCTTCTTTTTTTTTAATGATTGGAGACGCTTTTATGACCTGTAAATCATCTCGGATCAACTTTTATTTTGGATTCCATGGAATTGGCGATATCTTACTTGATACCGTGCATACATGAAATTGATGTATTTGGACATTGTTACATTGAATCATCAGGCTGATAGATGAACTAGATAATAAACCGAAAGCATGGGGGTCAGGATCTCACTTTTGGTCACCCATACCAATACATATACTTTCGCGTCTCCCTGCAGCTTCCCAAAGTCGTCTGTACCACTCTGGGCGTTCTAAATCAGAGACCGAGAACCGTAATCCACGTCTATCCCCCTCTCTACCCACCGCCTCAGACGCCGACCTCCCTCACCTCACACCATCCAAGACCGTACACATGACCCAGATCACCGAAAAACCCGAAACAAAACGCGTCGCTACCGCCGCCTGCACCGTCTCCTTCTCGAACGCACGACCCTGGGAAATCCTCCGCGAGGGCCAGACCACGCACAAAGGCGACGTCTTCAGCGTTGCCCGGATTGCAGGTATCATGGCCGCAAAAAGAACGCCTGATATCGTGCCCCTTTGTCATCCAGGCATTGGTATTACCGGGGTTGAGGTTAGCGTAGAACTAGTTGAACCTGCGCAAAACAGGGATCATGGCGGCATGCATGTCGTGGCGTCGGTCAGCTGCTTTGGTCGTACAGGGGTGGAAATGGAGGCTATGACCGCTACTATAGGTGCGGCTCTAACGGTTTACGACATGCTAAAGGCTGTGGATAAGGGAATGGTTATTGAATCCGTTCGATTGTTGGAGAAACAGGGTGGAAAGAGTGGGCATTGGGTACGGGAATAAGTTGATTGTAGTTGAAATAGAGTAGGTATAACATGTTCGGTTAATCTACAACATACAGCTCACAAAGGGCTTTGACCAGATGATCCTCCCTAACCCTAATGGGGCATTCTTGCTATAACCGTACCATCCCTGTGTTGATCGTCCCCAGTGCACGATTAATTTGGAAATTAGGTTCCTTTTGTATGGTGCACCCATACTAAAGGTACCAAAAATCCAAAAATTCAAAAATCATAAAATTCATTTTTCCCAACCCTTAAGCTTACTCAACGATAAGAGTGCTAAACAGATGGTTTAATAGACAACATAGGTATAACCGTACAACTTCAATGTTCGAATGCTTCAATTATAGCTTATCTACAACTGTTGTAGATTGATTCTAAGTTTATTAGAACCCTTTCATATACCATTTCTGTCTACCTAGAATTTTCCTTTGGCTTGTAACGGGTTGAGTATTATGATTTTTGAATTTTTGAATTTTTGAATTTTTGGTACCTTTAGTATGGGTGCACCATACAAAAGGAACCTAATTTCCAAATTAATCGTGCACTGGGGACGATCAACACAGGGATGGTGTCCTGGGCGCTTGGCACGTACCTATGGATTGGCCCTATATGCCAACCGTTTGAAAACTCCTTCACTGCATTTTCGTAGTTGTAATTTGACCAAAAATCTTTTCATCTTTATTCCACTTTTTATCCGGATATAGCGATGATTCTCAATTTTTAATTTTTTAATATTTGTATTTCTATGTGTGGCCTTTAAAGATATTTCGAGCCCACATCGTTAACTCGAATTGGCTTAGCTGGTTGGTCACTGAGGTTTTACACTTTTCTCTCTTTTCTTCATTCAACTATGTATGTTTTTTTTTCTCATTTTTTTTTCACATTCCTCTATTTGAGGCCGTAAGTTGTGTCAATTCGAGCCATCTCGAGTTGTGTGGGGTTTTTCTTGAAAATCTTGTCACAAAAATCGTGTTTCATCATTACATCGACAACGCCTTCACGGTAAAGAATTCACAGCAAGGACTGCGCATTTTCAAGCCCTGGCGAATTTTGTCGACAAGTGAATATGCATGCACCGCTGATCTGTATGTGCGCCTGGCCTGCTTATAACTTTTAACTGACCACTTTGGACAGTCCGCAAATGGCGGAAGTACATCGGGAATGCCATGATGGCAGTGCTTCCGCCATTGAATTTCTTGACGCTACACTATCTCTATTTCATTGCCACATGCATGATCGCTAGTATCATTTTCTATTTGACATCGACGCCATGGCGTAGCGTTGCCTATGTGGACTCGATTTTCTTGTGTGTCAGTGCCATGACCGGTGCTGGATTGAATACGGTATGGCCTGAATCTCATGGGCTATTTCGTAAGCTAATGGTCCGATTATCAGGTGGATCTGTCAACTCTGAATAGCTTCCAACAAGCAGTTTTGTTCATCCTGCTTATCCTGGGCCATGCCATTCTCATCTCTCTCACCGTACTTCTAGTACGTAAGAGGGCTTTCGAGGCAAAGTTCAAGGGTGTTTCCAATGAGCGGGAAAGAGAGCGGTCTAGTTGTAACCCCTTGGAAGTTGAACTCCAGGCCAGGGGCCGGGAACCTGCTCAGGGAAGCACCGGTACTGATATCCCGGGCGAAAGCAATGGACACAGCGGTAAACCGCACCCAAAGACATCGGTGCTGGCCCAAGTGAAATCGGGAGAGCCATCTTCTCGTGATGAACAGCCATGGATGGAAGATGACCAAAAAACCATCGGTGGCACACCCCGTCATCATCACCACCGAGTCTTTCCTATGGCTGGCATTGGGGCGAGACCGGATCTGCATAATCACCCTCGCGACGCAGTGCCTAACGTCCCCTTGGTAGTCGAGGACTCCGTGTCTGGCTTCAAGGGAATTCTTCGTGGTACACAGAAGTACATGGCGTCTAAGGGGCTCGTGTCCCGCAACTCCCAGTTCCACGATCTCACTCCTGCTGAACGTGACGAACTAGGTGGCGTTGAGTACAAGGCCGTCTCGTTTCTTTCTGTGGTTGTGTTTCTTTACTTTATCTTGTTTATCATCTTTGGTATGGTCGGGGTCGGTGGTTGGCTGGAAGTTAACGATCCCGCCGTGACGCGCACGAACGGCCTTTCGCCTTTCTGGACGGGTGCTTTCTTTGCTGTTTCTGCTTTCGTGAACAGTGGCATGTCGCTTCTGGATGCTAATATGACTGCTTTGCAGTTGAAGTTGGTGGCCTAGATCTCTCGCCTTTCAACAGTCAAGCTTGCTGACCCTCTCTAGTGCTTACCCCCTTCTCACAATGGGATTCCTGATTCTAGCTGGAAACACTCTCTTCCCTTGTTTCCTGCGGTTCATTATCTGGACTATGAGGATCATGCTTCCGGACCGGCCGAGGTGGCAGTCGTGGCGTATAACCCTTGATTTCATCTTGAAGCATCCTCGAAGGGTAAGTCATGTTGCAGCACTCTAATAGATTGCAGAATGTAGACACTGATCGTGAAGCCAGGTCTATACGAACCTCTTCCCTGCTCGCCATACGTGGTATCTACTCGGCACGATTGTCATTCTGAACGGTATCGACTGGGCGTCATTTGAGCTACTGTCTATTGGAAACAAGGACATCGAGAGTCTTCCTACCGAGTATCGTGTGTTGGATGGACTTTTCCAAGCCATAGGTTCGTCAACCAATATTACCTCCACCGTCATATCTGAATGAAGCTGATAGATGATCTCGAATAAAGCGGTACGCGCTGGTGGATTCTACGTTGTAACCATTGCCGGTCTTCGCCAGGGTCTCTTGGTTCTCTATGGCAAGTGCTTTGAATTTTTTCGCCCCACTGAAGGATCATCACGCTAATAAAATCTTTAGTACTTATGATGGTAAGACCTATCAGTCTTGTAGCGCATGCACCAACCCCCCAAACTAACACCTCGCCCAGTACGTCTCCGCGTACCCAGTAACGCTCACGATGCGGTAGGTAGCCAGTGAACTCGCCAAAGAAACCACAATCTAACACCCGCCCAGCAATACGAACGTCTACGAAGAACGCTCGCTAGGAATCTATGCACACGACGAATCCCCAGACTCACCAGCAAACACAAGCCGCAGCAACGTAGTAATGGACCTAATCCGACACCATCTCGGCCGCCCAGGCCTGTCCGAGACTTCGCGTGGCTACTTCGTGCACCAACAGATCCGCTCCCAACTCAGCCATGACCTGTGGTGGATCGCGCTGGCGATATTCTTCATCGCCATCCGCGAGTCAGACCACTATGAATCCCAGCCTGTGTCTTTCTCCACCTTCAACATCATTTTCGAGGTTGTCTCTGCCTACGGCTGTGTGGGTGTCAGTCTTGGATTCCCTGGGAAGAATTACTCGTTCTGTGGAGCGTGGCACACTGTTAGCAAGTTGATTCTTGCTGCTGTGGCTTTACGTGGTAGGCATCGTGGTTTGCCCGTGGCAATTGACAAGGCTATCATGTTGCCCAGTGAATCTTTGGCTTGGGCTGAAGAGGAGGATGCTGCTATGCGGAGGGATAGGTCTAGGGTTTGGGCTCAGGAGCATGGGCCTGTTGGGTCTGTTTAGATGTTGCACTTTGATATACCCCCTTTTGCTCGTTCATTTATTGGACTGTTTTATAAAGCGTAGATTTATGAGACCTATGATGAAATGAAGCTTGTTGAGAAAAGATGATTCTTTTGTAGGACTGAGTAACTACCCATGGTGTATCCTGGTAAACAAAGACATATGCAATAACCGTGTGAAGTAGCTGGACATGGACATGGACAAGGAGATATACAAATTAAAAGAATAACTAGACGATCTACTCGTCCTCCATCTCCATCTCGTCTTCATCTTCACTCTCGATCTCGGCTTCCTCCTCGCTCTCCAATTCCTCCTCATCCTCGCTGCCATCATCACTGCCAGCAACACCACCCATGTCTTCATCTTCTCCACCATTCTTCTTCGCCTCCTGTCTCCGCTTCTCTTCCTCGATACGGCCTTCTTCGAGGACAGCAGCACGCTCCTCACGCAGCTTGCGCTGCGTCTTAACGAACGCACCGACAGGAGTAGTCTCCCAGTCAACATCCTTGAGGAAAGATTCAACGGCAGAGCGGTTGCGGGGAGCGTACGAGACGTTCATACGGCGCTCCTCGATCCAGCGGGCATTGGTCTCAACCTTCTGCACGAGAAGCAGGATCATCTGGTTGATTTTAGCGTTCTTGTTTCCACCGCTGCGGGCAGAGACCTGCTTCAGCCAGCGCTTGAGGGAGACAACGACGGGCACGGACAGTTCCGGGAACGCAATGTGCTTGGACCACAGGACGAAGAACTCAGAGAGGAGCTCGGCGACCTGCTCACCGATGCCGTCCTGGTAAGTGCGCGAGCGCAGGTAGGATTTGGGCGCGCGGATCGCTGTGTTGAAGTCTAGGGGCTTGAGCGTGCTGGACTTGGGGTGCTTGCGCATCTCTGCGGAGGTTAGGACCTCGAGAAGTGAAGCTGAGAGCGGGATGTAGGTGCCTGTTGCGCGGGAAATACGGAGCAGGGAGCGCGTCAATTGGAAGCGCAGAGGGAAGTACGTGGCGGTTGGGATGAGGCGCATGGCGCCCAGGGTAATTTGCACGACGGGGTAGATAAGGGGACGCAGAGCGGACTGCTTGCCGACTTGAGCCTCGACAAGGCCGTCGCAGTGCTGTGAAAGCACTCGGGACCAGAAGTCCAGTGAGTGCACGTATTGCCAGTTGTAGATGGTCTTGTAGGACTCCTTGGAGGTATTGGTAATGCTCTTGCGCAGGTGCATAGCCAGCTGACGGATGAAGGAGAACCCTGCTGTGTATGAGACGTTCTGGTCAATACCCCAGATTTCGGCTGCAGAGTTCTTCATTAAGTTCACGCCTGCTAGCGTGTGCACCGTTGTGTTGCGGCTACCCTTGACAACACCCTCGTAAGTGGCCTTGAGCACACTCTCCCTGATACCTGCATCTCCCAGAACCATAAGGCGGCGCAGAATCAAGAAACCTGTGATACGGGTGGCGTCAGCCGTAGACACATCAGCCCAAATTCCGACGACAATCTTAACGAGTGTCTTCAGCACCTTGCGGAACTGAAGAAGGTAAGGCAGCATGGGCTCAATTGACGCGAGGGTCAACTTTAGTGTCGATGCGTCGGACAAGTTGACCAGAAGCTGGTGAACTGAAGCAGTGTGCGATTTGATCAGAGGTGTGAGAGTCTTGAACTTCTTGGAATCTAATGACACTCTGATTTTGCCAGAAGCGCTCTCCTTGACGGGGAGATGGTGGGCTAGGACCTTGGGGATGGTGTTAAGAGCCGTGATGAGAACCTGGTGGTAGACGTTTTTGTCGGAGATGGTGTATTTTTGCTCGGGGGCATCAGGGTCATTGACATACGCGGCCGCACGGAAAGCGAGCACAGCCTGGCGCATCGCTCGGATCGAGTTTTGCTCCTCCATCAACTTCTGCCACTTCTTGACCATCTCAATAGTCAGGGTCTCATCCTCGGTCTCCTCCTCAGGCTCCTCCTCCTTCTTGGACTTCTTCTTCTTCTTCTTGGCTGGTTCCTCATCTTCAGGTTCTTCGCTTTCGCTCAGAGCGTCAACCTCTGAAAGATCGCCTTGGTCACCGAATTCGAGCAGTTCAGAATCGTTTTCCTTCAGATATTTATAGAACTCGGGGTCTTTGTCCTTCAATGACTCCAGCTGGTCCTTGTGCTCATCGTAAGCATCGACGCTGTCGTCATCACTCTCACCCTCAGAAGCCTCAGCGTCTGCCTGTGCCTTATCTTCTGAGCGCTTGCGCTTGCCGATCTTGGGGGTGGTGTCCTTCTTGCTAGCCTTCTTTCCCTTGTCCTCGGGAATATCGAAGCCGCCAGCGAAGAAGTCGTCAACGTTCATTTCGGAGAAGGCATTTTGTTTCTTCAACTCCTCCGGGTTTTCTGCGGCGGCGGCGGCGGCTTCGGCTTCGGCACGGCGAGCAGCACTTTTTTCCTTGCGCTTGTCGTTCAGTTGGTGTCTTTGCTTAATCTTGGCATGCGCTTTGCGTCGCTCGAGGACGTCTGGCAGACGCTTCTGCACGAACTTCTTCGTCGATTTTTTTCCTCCAACCATTTTGAGATATTGATGCAGAAAAGAGTCTGCAAGTGTAGCTTGGTCGGAAAATGGCTGGTCAAAAAAAAATTGGGGAGAAAATCGGCGGGTCCGCCTTTCAGACCGCCTTTGCCATTGGGCGATAACGTCTAGACAATCTACAAGACAACAAGACAACCTTCAAACTGACGACTGACGACTGACGACCATTGTACAAATCCTGAATTTGGGTGAAAATGTACTCCCAGCGCCCACTTTCGTATGCGCCGACTCCCTACAGCTACACACCTAACCCCGCCCGGTCAGCCACAATCAACCTTGACGAAGTATGGACCCTTGTCGCCGCACTGATAGTCAGATGGTCTAATGCCACTTCTCGTAGGAAGTCAAACTAGCATCCAGCTCAGCCGAGCGTGACTTATACGAATCACTAGCCGAAATCTATAGCATCATAGTCACTCTCGATGGACTCGAGAAAGCATACATCAAGGATGTGGTCACCGAGACAGAATATACCGAGACATGCACTCGGCTATTGAAGCAATACAAGTCTAGTCTTGGAGACGAGACAGTGTTGCGGGAGTTCGTGGATTTGGAAACCTTTAAGCGGACGTGGGGTGTGAGTGTTCTTCTCCATTTTACCCCTAAAACACCAAGGCATCTCTAATGCCAGATGGACAATGCAGTTGGAATGCCCACGAGCCACAGAGCGATTGCGTATTGGTCTTCCGGCCACAGTTGAGCAAGCTTCTCATGGTGCACCAACCCCCAGCATGGGCGTTGCTGCGACGGGCCAGGCTGGTGGTGCCTCTGGTAGTCTTATTCTGGCAGCAACCGAAAACTTCATTACCTTCCTCGATGCACTGAAACTTAACATGGTATCTAAAGATGCACTGCATCCGCTTTTATCCGAGGTGATTCAATCCGTGAATAAGGTAACAGATACCGATTTCGAAGACCGCGGCAAGATCATTCAGTGGTTGATCGCATTGAATCAAATGCGAGCTACTGAGGAATTGAGCGAGGACCAAGCGCGTGAACTTGCATTTGATATTGAACAGGCTTATCAGGGCTTCAAGGCAACTTTGAACTGATTTGGGGAATCTTTGACTTGATGCACCGGCAAGGCGTTCATATGGACAGTATAGATACCATTATGTTTTCATGTAATATTGTGATCGTTTGTGATTGCTGGCTTAATATACCTACTTTTGATTGTTTTTGATTGAATGTTCTGGCATAAGTACAGTAAGAGCATCTACTGTATGGATCGAACGGCATCTGGCTTAGCGCCATACACTATTTGGGTCAGTTCTTTTTCCTCTTTCGATATCAAATGTTTCTTTCTCACTTGCAGCGGCCTTCGGTTTTATAATTTCTGTTCTCTTGATGTCTTGGTGCCTGATAATCTAGGCGACAGTCAACCCGCGGAACGGCAGCGCCAGCCTTTCCTCTTCAGGAATATTCCCTTTTTTTCTCCGCCACGCTTCTCCAGACTGTGAGGTCAATTTCTTGCCTTACATTCCTCTCCGGCAACGACTAGAGCACACAAAGGTTTCACCATGATCAGCACTACAGATGAGCCTCTACATGGTTAGTTCATAATCTCTTTCCTCAAGTCCATTCGGTCCACAAAAGATAATGGTACTGATAAGCGCAGTGCTTGACCTCCCGCAACTTTACCAGAAGCCCTCGGGAACCGATCTCGTGAAAGCTCTAGCTCTGCTGAGCTTACAGCCACGCACATTTGGCACGACCGCTGATGTCGTCAAAGGCCCCGCGGTCCAGCCCGCGGGAGTGACTCGGTATCTCACATCCATCATCGCCAGCCCACTAGCATGGCTCGATACCGAGGAACTCCGGGAGGCAATCTGGGATGCAGCCGCTGCACGACTGAGTGAACGGTCTGGTCGAACTGGTAAGCAGGCCACTATTTATCCAGCTGTGTTATGTTATCCCGCTGACCGTGACTCATTTACCACCAGCTATGCCGGCAATGTCTCGAATCTTCAACGTGCCCACCTCTTCCAGTGAAGAATACACACTGACACTCCATGAACCGTCAATCACAGCGGATAATCTCGGTATGAAGACTTGGGTGTCTTCCTATCTTCTCGCGCGCCGGCTTCACAAGCTTAAATCGCCACCAGCACTTGTTTCCTCGGCGTCAGATACTCCCTCTACAATCAATCCCCAGAAACCTCTGCGGGCGCTCGAACTCGGCGCTGGAACAGGCTTGGTTGGGCTTTCCTTCGCAGCTCTGCAGGGCGAGTCTGCCACCGTCCACCTTACCGACTTGCCCGAGATTGTTCCCAACCTCGCTCACAACGCTGCCTTGAACGTAGAACTCCTCACCAAAACTGGGGCGACTGTGACCACCGGTTTGCTTGACTGGTCGGTCACGCCGTCGCCCCTTCCAGCTGCGAAAGAGCAGTTTGATGTTATTCTCGCTGCAGATCCATTGTACTCGCCCAGCCATCCCAAATGGTTGGTGGACACCATCAAGCCCTGGCTTAGCCGTGGGCTTGATGCGCGAGTTGTGGCGGAGATGCCGCTACGAGATGCATATCTACCGCAGGTGAAGGAGTTCCGGCAGCGGATGGGCGAGTTGGGGCTGTTTGTTCTTGAGGAGGGCAATGAGGTTGGCTATGATGACTGGGAGGGTGCGGATGGAGGTGCGCTGGCTGTCAATTGTTGGTGGTCAATTTGGGGATGGAGTGAAAAGGTATAATGGCAGTACGGCCAGGTCATAATGACCAAACGAAATGACGAATAATAACGATACACGATAGATTAGAACAAGGATTCCTAGACTTTGCTTTTTGAGCAATGCAACCCCCAAAGATCAAACCTTGAAGATGAACATGCTCGCATCATATTCGATGGAAGTCAACTTGATGAATGAGGAAAACATTGGTCGACAGAAAAGAGGAGCAGTTCCATCACGTGACGATGACGTCGGTGTCACCATTTCGATGGATCGTGGATTTCTACCGGGTCCTGTATTTCTAGGGGTTCAGAACCCTAGCAAGAATGACTTGTATCTATGCTCATTTACAGAAAACAGATATTCTCTACATCCATGTGGTCGGTCAACAGCCCAACGTTCTTCAAGTATCAAGCAAGTTATCCTAACGCGATGACAGACCTGAGTCCAGAGCAAACCGCAAGCATACCAGCCTCCAAATTCCTGGAATCCGAATAATCAGGGTGCTGTTCAAAGCCGACAAAATCCAAGGGTCTGAACTGCGACATAAATACATATACTTCCATCAAGCTACCGACTACGATTCATTCCTTTTGACCTCTCGAGTCGTGCATTACGGAATACGTCGCAAACCCAATATTGCATACCTCACCAAACACCTGTACAATGATTGGGCTTCTAGCCCTCACCTCCATTCCAACAGTGACAGGTGTAGCTCTCGCTTCCAGCGAGCAGCGCAAAGCAAACCAGCGCAAAGAAGAAGCCCGTCGCATGGTGAAGTTCAACATCGTGGCGGAATGCGATGGGGACACGGATGATGACCGCAAATTAAACGGGATGACTGTTGTTGTAAGAGATGAGAAGGTAAGGAACCGTAAGGAACCCTAATGCGGACTAGAGAAAGAGTCTAGAATACGTTTCAGCCCCTCTGAACATTAAAACCACAGCTCAAATTGCAGACTAGACTGATACATCTACCCCCGCAGGTCTACCTCGCCAACCCAGATCCCTCCAAACGATCCCCGCCAGCTTTCACGGCCTTGGCTTTCTACATCGAGTATCCCGAACCAGAGGAACTAAAATACCTCAAGCGTGAGCGTGGCCTCGGCCTCCCAACCTACGTCCAGGACAATCCGCCCCTTCTCAACTGGATCTATGCAGATACCGAAACGTATGAGTTGCGATACGGGAATCGGTCGCAAAGTGTGGAGCAGCTGGTCGAGCCGTGGGACTGGTGTAAGAACGAGAAGTTTATTTCGCTTGAAGGGAAGCAGAATGCTTTCATTGCGGTTGAAGAAGAGGAGGGGGAATGGGCGCTTCATTTTGATCGAGATGGCGATGAGCTTGCGGGCGTTCTAGGGGAGCAGGGATTGCTGGATTGTGCCTTTGTGCCTGTCAAGTTGGCCAGGAAGGTCGTTGAGGAAAGGCCGCCGCCACCTTCAGCTGCTCAGGCTCCAGCTCAACGGAGTCAGGGAAATGGTCAGAGTCAGAAATAGATGGGTGCGACAGAGCGTGGGTAAATATCGTGATTGAGACGAAGGATTTTGTATGTATATACTTCATGAGATGACTTAATGCGCTTATGATATGATCATGATTATGGTAATACCGCGGTAGCAACCTTGGAATAGTGTATTGTACAGTAGAAACTTGAGCATTTAATCATCCAATCCACTCCAGCTCCCAGTGTCACTGGCGTTGCCGCTAGCCGCTGCGGCAGCCTTCCTGTTGCGACTGGCCTCGATGGCACCCCTTTTGTTGTTCTCCATGCGGCGTTCAAAGCCACTCTTGGTACTGATTCTCATACCACGAGCGCTCTTTCCATCCTCCTCCTTGTCGGTCAATCTTGGGGCCTGGCGCGCCTTAACACCATGCCTCTTCAAATCCTTCTTGTTGTTCTTGCTCAAGTTCGGCAAAGCATCGAGCAGCCATTTCTGAATGGATTTGTCGCCTTCTTCGCCACCACGTAGCTTCTCGCTGACGTCGATGATGTTGGCAATGCTCTTCACATAAGGAATGTCTTCCTTGGTATAGTAAGTGACGGCGATACCGCCCTCGCGACCAGCACGACCGGTTCGCCCCACGCGGTGGACGTAGACGGCGGCTGAGTTGGGGATATCGTAGTTGACTACGCCGTTGATACCGCGGAAGTCGACGCCGCGGGCTAGCAGATCCGTTGTAACCAAAATCCAGATCTCGCCTTTGCGGAAGTCGCGCATGATGTCAGACCGTTGGCCATCTGAGAGATCAGAGTGGAGAACCGCAATACGGGAGGATCCGCCGGCTTCGGCTGGAATATCATATTTGAGTTCGGAGTGTAGTGCCACCGCCCGAGGGATGGTCTGCGTAAAAATGAGGAAGGGAGGGCGAAGACGGACATCTGATGCCGAGGCTGCTGCAGGGCGAAGAAGTTGGCGAAGTCCCATCAATTTGCCCTGTTCTGTAGCTGCGTACACAAGTTTGTGGTCAATGTTGGGGATGGCAGAGTCTTTCAACCCTACAACCAGACGAAGTAGTGCATGTGGCTTGCTTGGCTTTCGTTCGAGATCTTCCAGTCGCTCTTTAATGGTCGACTTTGTGAGATCCTCGATATTGGATCCCATGGTAGCTGACCAAAGGCCGACACGCAAGTCGGGGTGTGAGCATGATTTCCAGATTTCAAGTGTCTGTTCCCGGAACAACGGGTCCAGGAGGACATCGGCTTCGTCCATAACCAAGCTCCGCACGAGAGGTAATGTTGCCATGGTGGTTGTCCGATTCGCAGATAAAGCATTGACCAACATCAGAGGCGTAGTGACGAGAATATCACTCTTGGTGACCGGGACGCTGGTTCGCTGCTTTGCTGGCTTGTTTTCGGTATCATCATCTTCCGACCCAGATGATTCTTCGCTGTTTTCTTCAAGAACGTTGGCACCAGCAGCACCAACATCTCCAACGCGCATACCCTTTCTCATCAACGTGATCTTCACGCCAGTTCCAGCAACTAGCTTGCGGCCCTCGTTGACAATTTGACTTGCCAACTCCCGGGTGGGCGCCACAACCAGAGACAAAATACCGTGCTCGTCGGGGTTTGAGTGGTGGTGTCGAACAATTTTGTTGATGACAGGGATTAAGAATGACAGTGTCTTGCCGCTACCGGTGGGGGCAACAACCAGAAGATCTGGCTCAGAAGATTCTCCCAGAAGCAATGGTAGGGTTCCAAGTTGAACCTCTGTAGGTACGGTAAATCCTTGCTCTGCAATGTTCTCTGCGAGCCGCGAGGAGATCCTATATTTAGACCGAAGCTCCTTGAAGTTAAGCAGTGGCTCCGGGAACAAACGTCTGGCACGCTTCTGTTCCTTTTTACTGAGAATCGGCGCCTCTTCTTTCTTTGACTTCTTCTTTTTCTTCTTGGAATCTTTGGTAGACGTAGGCTGGACTTGGATCTCTTCCAAGTCGCGCAGGTCTGTCACCTTGATCTTGTGTGAGTTCAAGATAGTGCGACGCTCCACTTCATCCATGGAATCGTCGTCATCAGAGGCGGCATCCTGAGCAGACACTTTCTTGTCGTTCTCGGTCGCAGCAGTCGCAGCAGCGGTTTCCGTCACACTTGCTGCAGTGCGCTTATTTGAACTGAAAAAGTCGAGATCAGGGACATCTTCCTCAGCCTGCTGGACGGCAGCGCCTCTTTTTCTTTTTTTGCCATTCTTGGCAAACTCGAGCTTGTCGGTCTCCACGGTCCGGAAGAGCTGCGGATTGGCTGCTTTCCCAGTGGAGGGCAGACGAGAGTCTGAAGCCGACGAGGCGGGCTTTAACTTTGTTGAACGGGTCAATAATCTGAACGCATCCATATCTTTTGTTGGTTGAGTCGAAAATGTCGTTGATATTGTGAGAGGGAAAAAAAGTGGTCCGCCGACTTTCCGCCCGCGCCAATCAGCGTTGTGCGTCATCTGCGAAGGTGCATGGCGGCCAGGGTCCGATGCCTGATTTTTCTAGGGTCGATGCCTGAATCGTGCCTGATTTTGGATTGGCAGAATTTAGTCTGCCGAAATGACTATTACAGAGACTGAAAAAGGAAATTGCCAAAGGCCAACCCACCTACCTAGGTAGATAAAAAATATAGCTTTTTGTATAGCTTAAAACTTTAGATCCTAAGATTTTTAGGGTTGTTTACAGTCATAAGACTATTTCGTAAACTCTACATAGACTACGAAGTACCGTTGTTGAAATATCAAGTTGTAATTTATCGTATTAACCATGTAAAAGAATAGTGGGCCACATTGGCGGCCTTGTGACGACGTCGTTTTGGTAGTTAGTCTTTATTCCAAATATGTTTTGTCCTTCTTGTTGGTTTCAGACAACATAGATAGACGGCAGGAAAGAGCAGAAAGAGGCTGAATTTGTGAAATGGACTTTTCTACGTATAACCTGGAATTTGGAGTGGGCCACTCGCTTGTGAACTACGTTATCGACTACTAAATGTTTAGACATCTTTAAGTATTACGTACGATGGTTATTTAGTTTCCGACCCCTATACCCTTGCAGCTAGGGATAGGTGATTGTGGAATAGCTTCAACCAGTTTACAATACACAGTATAGAGCGGTGTCCGAAGCGGTCTAAAATCAAGCATCGTTCAGGCATCATTCAGGCATCGACCCTAGAAAAATCAGGCATCAGACCCCTGGCCGCCATGCTTCGTTGTCATCTATCACTGCCGCAGACGCGGAGGACAAAACAACGAGAGAAAAATGATGGTCACAGATGGGATGGTCTCGATGTGAAAGACATTTCAAATCAGGATCACCATTCGTGGCCAGGGAATCTGAAGCATGGCTACAGAGAGGTTTAGGGAAGAAAGGGAAGAGTAAGGAGAGACAAGTCGAAAGCATGGGGTCTTTAGATTACCACCAACCATTTGCACAGTGGATTTGACCCTTTCTATAGAGCACAGATGGTACAGGAATTGTGTTGCAGTAACAAGGTCTATCTCAGACAACAGTTTAAATTCCATCGTCTATCATACACACAGCGCGGCCAGATTAACATAAGAAAAAAAAGGAAAGGACGATTCTCTTCTGTCCACTTCCACTTAGTGCGTGTGCGCAGGCTCGCCACGGTAACCAACAATGTTCATGCGACCGATCATCTCGCCAACAGTGAAGAAGCCAATGACCTCGGCGGCAGTGACACCGGCGAAGGCGAGCTGCTTAGGGCTGGCATTGCGGATAGAGGCGAGGATAGTCGAGGGGGAGGGGAGGGTCTTGAGGGCAGCAGGGTTGCGGATGAAGGGCTGGAAGTAGGACTGGAAGGTGGCCAGGTTGCTAGGAGGAATAGTTAGATTGGGAGTAAATAGTCCGAGTACGGGCTCCGGCTTACGGAGGAGCCATGTTCTGGCCACGGAACACCAGTCTGCCGAGCTCGATTCCGACCTTAGAGTAGTAGATAGTAGGAGGGACCAACGCTAGGTTGATTGATGGTTAGCTATACACCTTGTGTAACTTTTGTTCCATGTATTGAAGTCAACAAGGAGGTTGGGATTAGGTGGCACGATTCCAACCAGATCAGTCGGCCAATCATTGGTTTTCTCTTTGTATAAGTAACCAGTTCCCCAAACTCCATTGTGGCCCTCCAAACAGGAGAGAAATCGAAAAAAAGTCTCTTACAATCGACGAAAGAGATGACCTTGCCGGCGGGTCCACCGATCTTGCGCAGGGCACCAGCGGCGTTGGCGATGACAGGACCAGCGGAGGCAGAGACCTTGGACAAACCCTCAGAGGCCTTGGAGGCAGCTGAAGAAGCAGTCTCACCAGCCTTGGCGGCAGCCTCCGAGGTGGACGAAGCATATCTGACGACGGTTCTCCGGGTCAGGAACTGCGATTGCCGCAGGACAGCACGGGTGACGGCGGGCATTTTGAGTACTGCGGAGGAAATGAGCGGAAAAGAGAAATTAAGCAAAGGACACCCGAAGCAATCGCTAATAGGAGGGCAGTATGATCTAATGATCTGGAGTTTCGCGCAACGGTAGAACCAGACGAAGATTTGGCGCTCGGGAACTTCAGGAATTGTTGGTCACGTGAGTCGCCTTCTATCCCCCATGAACCACTTCCTTTTCTATATGTTTGAAGATGTTTCAGGGAGCCGAGAATTTTCAGAGTCATATTACTTACATATTCCGACTCATCTTGATTGGGGGTGTGAATCTGAAAATGAATAAGAACACTAGCACCTTGCTACAGCATATACCTATATCCGGCCCCGTTTATTGAACCACAGCCAGGAACTATGCTCCGGATAGTAAAGATAGGTTGATGCTTTTTTTTTTTTCTTTTAAGACGGGCTAGTCTCTCTAATGGCGTCTTTGTCGTGATGAATACTCTGCAAATTTGATATGCAAATTTGATTTACAAAAAAAAAACACGTTACGTCTAAAGGGGCGCGAGTCACAATATATATGTGCACAAAAGTGTCGTGTTCCGTGTAGCTATACTTTTTGTTCTCTATCACCAACAAATTTGAGTGGAAGAATCTCAAATGTAACCTAGACCATGCATCCAGACTAATCGATAATTTATATACCGAGAAAGACAGACAGCGGATGGTCGGATCTACCTTGTGAAGAAAGCGGCTCCTGGGCTATGTAGGCGAAAGAGCACAGCCCGGCCAACAGAAAGGCTTTCTAGAGAGATGTAGTTTTAAACAACAGTTTATTCCAGGTGGGTATAAAGATTGCTCCAGTAAATCAAATCCCATTAGATATGTCCATGTCCCTCATATATTGATCATCACCCGACAATTGTGACACTACCAAACAACCGTCGCAGCCAGTCCAATGGACAATCGTACAGGATGAACCTGGGTCCAGTTCTTGTCTCATATAAAATACTCTATGCATGGATATAAGTAACTAGTCAGATGACAATCGTTGTGACACGGCTTCTCCCTCTACCTTGAAATATCCGAGAGATTGGTTACTGGAACCCGATAGATTTGTACTAGGGAACGGAGTGCCTGTGCAATGCCAGACCAATTATCTCTATGTTGTGCATGTAGGTATATCCATTTTATATCATTATATAATTCCCTCTGTAGAAGAGAGATATCCACGCCCAGGTGTACAGGGAGTAAACAATGCCTCAGGCAAAAGAAAAGAGTTTGCACTGTTTGTCTCAAAAAAAAAAAAAAGCAATTGCTCCACTTGAAATCCACCTCCACCGGAGAATTCCCTCTCTGGACACCATTCTCTCACGGTATACTCCGTACAGTGACTTGAACTGGAAAACACTTCAGATTGTTCAGTCTGAACCAAACCAAGATTTTAGATGAGAAAAAAAGTCTTGAAGGAAATTGAGAGATTGACCTGGTGGGGAAATATTTAACAATATTAACCGATCGCCGTTCAACAATTCGGCCCGAGACTGAGAGCGGGCAAAGGTTGCCCAAATTTAGACGGCGAAGGCAGTTGAATCCCCCCCCCCCCGGTTAAAATCGAAAGGCCCCTCCCCACTTTTTCTTGTTCCTCCATCTATCAACATGGGGTTGAACTATGTGAGATCACCGGACATTAGAATTTTTTTTGTTGTGAGTATTAAAGTGGCTGTTCCCTCGTATCAATGCAGTAATTATCCATTTCCCCCCTCTCTTCTCCCCCCCTACAATGTCTTCCACAACAACCGTCACCAAGACCAACATCGGTGTCTACACCAATCCAAAGCATGACCTTTGGATCGCCGAGTCCAACCCAACAGTGGAGGACATCAATGCTGGAAAGGGCCTGAAGCCTGGCGAGGTCACAATTGAGGTGCGCAGCACCGGAATTTGCGGATCCGATGTGCACTTCTGGCACGCCGGTTGCATTGGTCCCATGATCGTTACGGGCGATCATGTCCTCGGTCACGAATCAGCCGGCCAGATTCTTGCGGTTGCCCCCGATGTCACCCACCTCAAGGTCGGCGACCGTGTTGCCGTTGAGCCTAACGTTATTTGCAACGCCTGCGAACCCTGTCTGACCGGTCGCTACAACGGTTGCGTGAAAGTCGCTTTCCTTTCCACACCTCCCGTCGATGGCTTGCTTCGGCGTTATGTCAACCACCCGGCCATCTGGTGCCATAAGATTGGTGATATGAGCTACGAGGACGGTGCTATGTTGGAGCCTCTCAGTGTGAGCTTGGCGGCTATCGAGCGCAGCGACCTGCGTCTCGGTGACCCACTGCTTGTCACCGGTGCCGGTCCTATTGGTCTGATCACGTTGCTCAGTGCACGCGCCGCTGGTGCCTGTCCTATTGTCATCACTGATATTGACGAGGGTCGTCTGGCTTTTGCGAAGTCCCTGGTTCCTGAAGTGCGCACCTATAAGGTGGAGTTTGGCAAGTCCGCCGAAGAATGTGCCGATGGTATCATCAATGCCCTGAATGACGGCCAGGGCTCTGGTCCTGATGCCCTGCGGCCCAAGCTGGCTCTGGAATGCACCGGTGTTGAGAGCAGCGTCAACTCCGCCATTTGGAGTGTCAAGTTTGGTGGCAAGGTGTTTGTCATCGGTGTCGGCAAGAATGAGATGACCATTCCCTTCATGCGTCTCAGCACCCAGGAGATCGACCTGCAGTACCAGTACCGCTACTGCAACACCTGGCCTCGGGCGATTCGCCTGGTTCAGAACGGTGTGATTGATTTACACAAGCTGGTCACTCACCGTTATTCTATTGAGAACGCGATCAAGGCCTTTGAGACCGCCGCTAATCCTAAGACTGGCGCCATCAAGGTACAGATTATGAGCTCGGAAGAGGATGTCAAGGCCGCCACTGCTGGTCAGAAATTTTAAGTGAAGAATGTGAAAAAAAAGATGAAGTGGTATTTCCGAACATCAGCGGGGGTTTCTGGTAGGGATCAAGAGCGGCTGTTGGCGTTGACGATTTTCTTTTTGTATATTCATGAATGATGTCTAGAAGATGCCCTTGGGCAGAATAGAAAAGCCCAACAAATGGCTTATTTTTAACATAATCTTTGGTTGAACGTAGGTCAAAAGGTTGAAACTGGATAGACACATTCAGGTAGTAGGATGCAGCCTGGAAGGACCTTGGACAATCATCTCACGTCAGTCTCGGACTTAAGCCGGGCTAAGCCGGTGAGAAACAAAAGCAACAAAAGCAACAATCAATCGACAATTCAAACTAGACCCTGCATGAATCTGAAGCTATTGGAGCTACTCGAGCTACTGTACCTAGCACCTTGCACTGGCCCAAAATTGCCGATCACAGCCCAAAGGGTGCATCCAATAATTTGCCTGTTCTCCAGGATGTGACAGTGCAATTCTCAATGTTATGTGATGCAAAGCAACCCATCATGGGGCCAAACTGTTTCTTTAATATCTCCTTGATGTTGTATCACCTCGCCCTTCCCCTCAATTGAGGATCGGGCCAGTGCATCCCTTAAAAGGGATGCATTCTCCCTCTTGTCAATCTACGATTCTCAGAGTATCCTGTTGTGTGAATGCCGTGTGTGTCCTGTGCTTCAATGCTCGCCCGGTTTTAAACATGAAAGGCACGCTGTTTCTCCTGGCTTTCCTCGGGGGTGCCGCTGTCCTGGGATCCCCATCACAGCTTCACACTTGTCCTGGTTATAGAGTTTCCCATGTGAAGCAATTGGGTCAGAGATTGACTGCTGATCTGGATCTTGCAGGAGATGCCTGCAATACCTATGGTACGGATCTTCCAAAGTTGAAGCTCCTGGTAGAGGCACAAACTGGTATATGAGATCCCCCTGCTTTCATCTTTGACTAAGATTGTAAACTCATCATTTCATTAGAAACCCGCCTCCATGTCATGATCTACGATGCCGATGAGGAGGTCTATCAAGTACCCGACGCTGTTCTCCCAAGACCCGAGAGCGCAAAAGGTCGTCAAAAAGAGTCCGCCCTGCGCTTCGACTTCGAAGAGAACCCTTTCTCATTCCGAGTGCTGCGCGGGGATGAAGTGCTCTTTGACACTTCTGACACCAACGTCATCTTCCAATCTCAGTACTTGAGCTTGCGCACTTGGCTTCCTAATGATCCGAATCTGTATGGTCTAGGGGAACACAGTGATTCGCTGCGTCTGCCTACTACTAATTATACTCGCACTATCTGGAACCGTGATGCATACACCATCCCTTCTAACTCAAACCTCTACGGTGCTCATCCTATTTACGTTGATCACCGTGGAGAGAAGGGTACCCACGGGGTCTTCTTTTTGAATTCGAACGGCATGGACATCAAGATTGATCAGACTGCTGATGGCAAACAATACCTCGAGTATAACACACTTGGCGGAGTCCTAGACTTCTACTTTATGGCCGGCCCGACCCCAAAGGAAGTGAGCGAGCAGTACTCTGAGGTCGTCGGTCTTCCTGTGATGCAAAGCTACTGGACATTCGGGGTACCTGAATTCGATGTTGGATTTTTGAAATTGCATTCTAACCAACATCTCTCTAGTATCACAACTGCCGATATGGCTACCAGGATGTGTTCGACGTCGCCGAGGTAGTTTACAACTACAGCCGTGCTGGAATCCCACTCGAGACCATGTGGACCGACATTGACTACATGAGTGGTCGACGGGTATTTACTCTAGACGATGAGCGGTTTCCTGTCGACAAGATGCGCGAGTTGGTTTCGTATCTTCACAAGCATGACCAGCACTACATTGTCATGGTCGATCCGGCCGTCAGTAACTCTGGTTAGTGTGATAGTGACTTGCTTCCCCTCAATTTCTGCTCTAATGGTGAGTGTTTTGCCAGACAACGATGCTTTCAAACGAGGCCACGAGCAGGGCGTCTTCCTCTACCGTGACAAAGAACAGAACAAACTCTACGAAGGTAGGCTTACCAGCAGAAGCATGAGACCCACCCTTCCTAACCGTGTGTCTCTAGGCGCCGTCTGGCCCGGCCTAACCGTCTACCCAGACTGGTTCAACAAAGACACGCAGACCTACTGGAACACAGAATTCGAGCGATTCTTCAGCGCAAGAGACGGCGTCGACATCGACGGTCTATGGATCGACATGAACGAGGTTTCCAACTTCTGCCCGTATCCCTGTAAGGACCCAGCAGAGTACGCCACGGCGAACGACCTTCCCCCAGCGCCTCCGCCCGTCCAATCGCCTCCCCGTCATATCCCCGGTTTCCCGGCTGATTTCCAGCTCGGCTCTTCTTCATCTGGGGCTTCTTCCTCACGCCATGGGAAGAGAGATGACGCTGTCGTCGAGAAATGTAGCCAGGATGCAAAGAAAAACAAGGTCGGCTTGTCTGGTCGAGACCTTGTTAACCCGCCTTATCAGATCTCCAACGAGGCTGGCTCAATCAGCAATAAGACAATTGATACTGATCTCATTCATGCCGGCGAGGGATACGCTGAGTATGACACGCACAATCTCTATGGAACTAGTAAGTCCCCCGTGTTCGCCATCTAAATCCTTCTCACAAGAGCCACAGTGATGAGCTCGGCTTCCCGCAAGGCAATGTTGAAGCGTCGACCCAATGTGCGACCTCTGATCATCACGCGTAGCACCTTCGCCGGAGCAGGCTCTCAGGTCGGCCACTGGTAAGATCACACAAAGCGCTCAAACCAGCTCACAGATACCCCTATACCTATGCTCACCCGATTCTCCTGATAGGCTCGGTGACAATGTCAGCCAGTGGGATAAATACCGCATCTCAATCCCGCAGATGCTAGCCTTTGCCTCAATTTTCCAGATCCCTATGGTCGGCAGCGACGTCTGCGGCTTCGCGGGAAATACGACCGAAGAGCTATGCGCGCGCTGGGCAATGCTCGGCGGCTTCTATCCGTTCTATCGGAACCACAATGAGTTCGGCACCGTGCCACAGGAATTCTACCGCTGGCCTACTGTGACACAGGCCGCGAAAAAAATCATCGATATCAGATATCGTCTCCTCGATTACCTTTATACTTCTTTCCATCGTCAGACCTTGACGGGAAGTCCGTTCCTCCAGCCGCTTTTCTATATCTACCCCGAGGATCGCAAGACCTTTGGCAATGAGCTGCAGTTCTTCTACGGTGATTCCATTCTCGTTTCACCTGTCTCGGAAGAGGGTTCTACCTCTGTGGACGCCTATTTCCCCGAGGATCTTTTTTATGATTGGTTCACTGGTGTTGCAGTGCAGGGCGATGGATCTGTGCAGACGATAACTGATCTCGCTATTACGGATATCCCGATTCATATTCGTGGTGGGAGCATCATCCCGCTTCGGACGGCGAGTGCGAAGACTACGACTGATCTGCGCAAGCGTGGCTTTGAGGTTCTCATTGCGCCCGGTGTTGATGGATCCGCGGAGGGTGAGCTGTACATTGATGATGGTGAGTCAATTCAGCCGGATAGCGCGGCGGAGATTCAGTTCAAGTACCGCAATGGCAAGCTTGAGATTCTGGGTCGGTTTGGGTATCGGCCTCATGTGGTTGTTGAGGCTGTAACGCTGCTTGGGCAGAAGAATAAGTGTCGGGATATTGGGTCTGATGCTCAGAGCCCGAGTGTGACAAAGAAAGTCCAGATTGAGTTGACTGGGCCGGCTGAGGTGACTCTGTATCCTCTCAAGTAAATTGGTGGGGCTATCGAGGTTGGATTTTGGTCGAGTTGAGTTTGAGGGCTGTTTTTAGATTGCGGGTTCCTAATTTTCTGGGGAACGCTACATCCGTCAGGTCAAACCGGCCACGTTCTATTTTCGGTTCTCAATTTCTGATCCTTGGGATGAATCACTTGTACGCGAGTCCTTGTGTTCGCGGTACCTTACGGAGTATTTTAACTTAACATGGTGATTGAATTAACGTTCCTGCATCTTAGCCCCATACCCAGCCACCTAGGTGAGTTCACAATCCCTCCCTCCATGTACGATGTATGTTGTACGGAGTTTTTAAAAAAAATATCAACATATAGAGAGGTTTAAGGAGATTCAAAGTGACTTATTAACAAACATTCCCTTGCATGGCCTTGCAGGAGAGGGGATGTTAGGGGGAAAGACAATGTCATGGAGATAACGGTGATATTTTTCACTTCTATCAGCTGACAGGACAAGAATCACTCCAATGTATCTTCCCAGTGAGACAGTGAGACAGTGAGACTAATAGAGGACTGAAGAATATTCCCCACTTGGGTAAGAGCGGGCTATTTCAAGGACAAAAAGTCTCACCCAGCCACCGAGTGAGGTGGCACCAGATCAGGCACAGGCCGCTAGTTCCTGAGTCATCTGATAAACCCACGGGGACCGTGGACTTGCTCCCAGGTGGGTATTCTTAGTGTCGACTTTGGGCCGATTTATGCGAGCTCTACTCTGTGCTCCGTACTGAAGAATTCTAGTGAGTAGGACCTACATTGTATGAAAGGGTCTCTGGACAAAACCCTCATCCTGTAGACTACGGTGGCCGAAGTAGGTCAAGGGGCCCGTGTTTCATGATAAATGTTGATGGTGATGGTGACATTTAATCAGATTTTTAGGATGATCAACCCGATCACGCTCGGTAGTCATCAACGGTCTTGGTTGGAATTATCATTTAAAAGAATTAGATGGGAAAGAAAAAAAAAAAAAACAAAGCTACAAGGCAACAGCCGGTCGTTTATCGGCTGGTATACGAGTAGTATATTTTTGTCACGGTACGGAGTACTTACTCCGTATATGATCAGAATTACGCTCTCGGTCACACATCGTCTGATCCCTACAGGTCATCTATCGTGACGTTGGAGTGTAAAGTAAATGGAATACGGAGTCCTCCGTATATTTCCAGCCTCATCATCTTTAAACTCTGGAGTATCGGTTGGGGGGGGGGGGGGATCCACTTGATTTGCCTTTGTGTCTCAGCGCCTTGCCTGGGATCCAATCATTTCCAATCATTTTCCCAGTCACTCCCTTTTCATACGTTTTTTTTTTAGTAGCGTGGCGTATCTTTGGTCCATTGTGGAGAAGGGTAAGAGTAGATAAAGTGGCACCTTCCCAGTCTTTTCAGGTTCTTACTATCCCATTGCACTTGCCTGACTTGCGAGATTCATTGAACACGGTCATTCCCTCGTTGACTGACCTTTCTTCTTCTTCCCTTTTTTTTTTACATATTTCCACATTGACGTCTCTTTTCATCGCGTACCAGACAATGCCCTCTGTCATGAAGTTCGCTGCTGCGGCTCTCGCAGTGGCTGCACCTCTTGTTTCAGCTCAGACGTACTCTGAATGTAACCCAATGGAACGATCATGCCCTCCGAACAAGGGTTTGACTGAGTCCAACCTTCACTTTGATTTCACCCAGGCTAGTTCCCTCGACCAGTGGAAGATCAGTGGCGGCTCAGTTCCCACCGGCCCCAATGGTGCCGAGTTCACTATCAACAAGGAAGGAGATGCTCCTACCCTTGTCAGCGACTTCTACTTCTTCTATGGCGAATTGTCCATTGAGATGAAGACTTCCCCTGGTCAAGGCATTGTCAGCTCTGCCTTTTTGCAGTCTGACGACAAGGATGAAGTTGACTGGGTACGGGATCCATCGTTCCCAAATATGCTTGATGAATAATTACTGACTGAGATACAGGAAGCACTGGGTGGAAAAGCCAACACCATTGAGACCAACTACTTCGGAAAGGGTGATACCACAACCTATGACCGTGAGACCTATGTCCCTGTCACCAGCCCTGATGAGTCTTTCCACACCTACACCGTCCAATGGTCCAAGGACACTGTCAACTGGCTGATTGATGGTGCCAATGTCCGCACTCTCAACTACAACGATGCCCAGGGTGGTGCTCGCTTCCCTCAGACCCCCATGAACATCCACGTTGGTATCTGGGCCGGTGGTGCTCCCACCAACGGTCAGGGTACCATTGACTGGGCTGGTGGTCTGACCGACTACTCCAAGGGCCCCTACTCCATGTACATTAAGAGCATCAGTGTCAAGAACACCAACCCCGCCGAGTCCTACACTTGGTCCGATATGTCTGGCTCCGCTGAAAGCATCCAGTTCACCGGATCCAACGTTGTGAGCTCGCGCGGCACCTCCTCCGTGGCTGCCACCAGCTCCACTTCCGAGGCGCCGATTTCCTCTTCCACCAAGGCTCCTTCCGCTACCGAGAACACTCCCACCACTGAGAGTACCTCCACCGAGAGCACTTCCACCGAGAGCACTTCCACCGAGAGTACTTCCACCGAGAGCACTTCTGCCCCTGCCACTACCCTGGCTACCAAGACCTCCAGCTCCTCGTCTGCCCAGTACACCGCCGAGTCGACTGCCGTCTCCGGCTCCGGTGCTGCCAGTGCTGCCAGTGTTGCCAGCTCTGGTGTCTCCCCCAGTGGCTCTAGCAGCTCAGGCTTCCGCTCCAGCCCCAGCCCTAGCTCTGGATCTAGCTCTGAATCTGGGTCCTCCGGCTCCGTCTCTAACACCGAGACCGGCTCCACCGCCCCTTCGGGCTCTGGCTCACTCACCAGTGCCAGCGCTAGCGCCAGCCCTAGCTTCAACGCTGCTGCCTCTGTCGCTGCCAGCTACCTGGGACCCGTGTCCCTCCTGGGTCTGGTGACCGCCCTGCTCCAGCTCTAAAAATCTTTTTTGAGCGCTACGATTTTTGATGCATCGTTAACGAAACGCGCCTCGAAAGAGGATACTTGGCTGGACCGAGTATGGTAATGGTTGGTGGATGCGGATGCTTTTTTATTTTTTTTCTGGTTGTAACCTTTTTCCCTTCTTGTTGTCCTTAGTGCTCAAATGCCTGCAACTTGTTCCTTGAGTTGCCCGGTACGAGCAATCTTCTTTGAGCGGACATTATGTATCTATCAGCGTTGTGCATACCTTTGCCATTGAGCAAAAATTCAATAATATCCAGTCAATGGACTCTACTGAATTCTTCAATCTCGATCTCTTCTCACCGCTTATCTCCTGTTCATGCCTTTACTCTTCGTTTTTCTTTCCTGTGTTCGTATACTCACAGCCCTATCCCACATCCGCCTCCCATTCGTCTCGATCGGTTGGATCTTGGGTTTCATTTCTTGTGGCGTCCAGTTGCCTGTGACATCCACTATCTTCCAACATCGGCCTCTCCGGAATCAAACGCCGAGCATCTACGTCAAACCCTCCGAGGTACACACCGAAAAATGAATTTGGTGTGAACCGTGGCTCGGGGAGTTTCCTTGAACTTGGTTGTAATGGGCCTGGGTTTGGATTGGTGGATGAATTCCAGACTTGTACCTAAGGGGATGTAGTTGGATTGGTTGATCGGGGTATTGTATAGGAACCGTGGATGACAGAGAAAGGGTCCATACGGTAGGTTACACCCTCCGTAGGACTTGTGCTTTCAATGTTACAAATTGTGGGGTTTACAGATATAATTTGTGTGTGCTGCACTCCGTACTATTCGTACAGAAAAATGGAGAATGGTAAAATATAGTCGTGGCTCATAATTGCATCTAACTCATCTCATCTTCTTGGATAGAAACGCCCAAAGTCAAGAAAACGTTAACAGTCCAAACATGAACTTTCCAAACCAGACTGTAACTACAACCCCCCCCCCCAAAAAAAAACCCCTGAAAATTCAAACTTCATCAACTCTCGGATCCTGACCAAAGTCCGAGCTTCCTCTCAGCCCCTTGTGGAGACCTCAATTCACCAAGTGGACCCTGCCCCAGTTGCACGTCGCACGTCCCCTAATTGGCGTGATAACCGCGAAACCGAGTCAGCAACGGGATGATGGTGCGTGGCCGCGACCCGAAGAGCAAGGGTTGCCGCGGGACGGGGTGTGTGTGTGGGCTCGGTGGATGCAGTGGAGGACACGGCAGAAGATGACGACTCCATTCTTGCAACTACATTGCCATCTGCACCTCCTGACGATCGTCCCCGGAACAATAATGCCCCGAATGGTCCTAGTGGGAGCGAGTCGAGCACGGAATAGAGCCGGTTGCTGTTGCTGTCCTGAGACGGGGATCGGTACTTGTGGAATGTTGGGCTTCGTCGTTCTTCGCGTGCTACGATTCCGTCCACTGCTTCGAGGTGGTCGTCTAGTGTTATGAAACGCGCGTTGAGCGAGTCTGCCTTGCTGCAGATTTGAGAGCGAAGTCGGTCGAGGTACTCTTCACGGCGTCGCATTTGGATCGCGAGTCGCGTGTCAAGAGCTACGGTGCCGAATATTTCACTTGCTGGTCGTGAGGCGAGTAGGCTGTCGATTGCTGAGCGCAGGTCTGCGCGTAGAGAGTTGAATTCCCATACTGCTGTTTGAACGGCTTCGTTGCTGCCGGTGAATTCGAGGTCTAGCGCGTTGTGAGCGTCTGGGAAGGTTGATTTTAGTTGCGATTCTAGGTCGGCGAGCATGCTTTCGCTTTGTTTGAGGACTGCGGAGAGAGGTGTGAGGGTTTCGAGGGCTGTGTCGAATATGGATTCCAGTTGGTGCTGGGAGGTTGTGAGGACTTCTTCTGGGGTTATTGCAGATGGGGGGTAGGCGCTGGGCAGTGGGTATGTCATGGGGAGGGTGATGCAGCTGTTGGGGTAGAGAGTCTTGATGCTTGGGAGACGGCAGAGGTCTTTGGCCTGATAGACTACCTCGGGGAGAACCAACAGGTGTAGGATGATGGCAATCAAAACTGCGTTGATTACTTTCCGGGCGAGGGCAGTATGACCACGACAGATGGACTTGGACTTCACAACCTGGCCTGCTTGTTTGGTTGTCGTCTTTGCAGACGAACCAGCGTTTGCATCTCCAGCTCGAGCGTAGGTCCGGTCCTGCTCTCGCTGCTTTGCACTCTTCGGTAAGGAAACTTTGCGTCGTTTTCTTATGCTTTCTGAGCTTTGCTGCTTCGGACTCCGTACATATTCTATCCATGACCCTTCTATAGTAGGCGTTTCGCAGATAGAGGGCATGATGAGCTCCGGGCCTGATGTGGCCCATGATGATGATGACGAGGAGGTCAGTGACTCTGATGCAGGGTCGGCTGTCTTTGTGGCTACTTTGCTGCTTTTATGCAGGGCATTTGGAGTTTTGATGGGGTCTTCGTTTGGCTTCAGAGAAGCAGTTGATGCAATCACCCAAGATTCGCCTTGAGCCAGGAGATCTGGGGTACGAGGCTGTTTTGTAGACATGGCTTAAACATCTCAAGACATGCCCTTCATGCAAGAGTTAATACGTTTGGTAATTTATTTCTCCCTCGGAGTGTTTCAACAGATATTTTGAATGCGACTGGCTCAAGCAGGCCATTGCGCGCGCAAAGCGGTGGGGAAGAAAGATCGGAGAAACCGCCGCGGCCGAGGACTGAGAATCTTCAGCAACCATGCGCTCCCTCCTTTGCCTACGATCGTCCCTGACGCTTGGCATTAAATCTCTGCCATGGCAACTTACACGATCGCGACCGCTGTCATACACAGCCATTCGCCATTGTTCGTGTTCTGACAAACCCGAAGCTCCAATGATACCTCCCACCGACCATCGAGCTCTCGGAACAGCCCAAGAGCTCTTCACATCTTCAGTCTACAGTCCCGGATCTCCACTGTTCCTCCCAAATGGCACACATGTTGTCAACAAACTCATCTCCTTCCTCCGCACCCAGTATTTACAATATGGCTTCCGTGAAGTCTTAACCCCAACCATCTACAAAAAGTCCCTTTGGGAGATATCTGGCCACTGGCAGAACTACAAGGATGATATGTATGAGGTGACTGGCAGAGGAGCTAGTGGCGAGGTAGAAGGTGAAGTGGGCGAAGACGAATCCTACGGACTCAAGCCAATGAACTGTCCCGGCCACTGCCTGCTCTTTAAGTCTCAGAATCACTCTTACCGCGACATGCCTGTGCGCTACGCAGACTTCAGCCCACTGCACCGCAACGAAGTGTCAGGTTCGCTTACAGGATTGACACGCGTGCGGCGCTTCCATCAAGATGATGGTCATATATTCAGTCGCCCGCAGCAAATCAAGTCGGAGATCACCTCGGCGCTTGGATTTGTGGACATGGCTATGACGACCTTCGGACTCGGTCCGTATCGATTGGTCCTGTCGACTCGACCCGAAACGGATTACATTGGGACTTTGGAGATGTGGGATAATGCCGAGATGCAATTGCGAGAGGCTCTGGATAGTACTGGACGCGAGTGGGCACTTAATGAGGGCGATGGTGCGTTTTACGGCCCCAAGATCGATATCCAGCTCCAGGATCAAGCTGGAAAGTACCACCAGCTGTCTACTATTCAATTGGATATGAACCTGCCACAGCGATTTGAGCTGGAGTATCAAGTTGCCGAGGGCGAGCCAGACTACAATCCAGCCACACCCGGAGTTGCAACTCCGGTTTTGATTCACCGCGCCATCTTCGGCTCATTGGAGCGGTTTTTGGCGTTGCTGATTGAACAGCACGGCGGTCATTGGCCATTCTGGCTTTCTCCGCGCCAGGCCATTATCCTGACAGTAAACCAAGACGATGCTGTTGTGCGCCAGGCTCAGGAAGCGACAGCCAAGTTTGCCGGTTTCCGTGCATTGGTCAATGGTGGTACCGCCGAGTCGCCCCGTCCACTGTCCACTGTCGACTCTACTTTCTTGGTTGACCTCGATACCAGCGCACAGACCCTAGGCAAGAAGATCCAGCGGGCCAAACAGATGAAGTATAACCTCATCTTCATTCTCGGATCACGCGACCTAACCGATGGTGGTATCACTGTTGATATCACTGGACAGATGCAGAGCAAAACAGATAAAGATGCTCGTATATTGCAGGAGCTAATCAAAGCCAGACTAGGTGATGATGCGCTACAGAACCCTCGAGCTGTTAAACTTGGCATTGACGAAGTTCATCCGCTATTGGTCGATTTGGAGAAAAACTTCCTGTAACTTTGAATGGTGTATATCCGTGTGTTGTCATTTTGAGCGTGACTATTTTTCTCCTATGATTGTATATTAGACCGATCTTTTGCCGAATTCAACTTCTCATTCTAACCGATGCAGATCAGTTTTGATTGTGACAAAACAACCAGCGGCTATCCTCGGAATTTCTGCCTCAGGCAGAAATATCTCCGATGTTCGGTGGTTCCCTAATGGAGACAGGGACAGTATATTGTACAATTTGGACATTTGCTACAAATGGCTGCAAGGTAAAGGAAAGGGAAGACACAAGAGGTAGGTCGATTCTTGCAATCCACCGGCATCTCAAGCCCATCATCATGCTATTTCTTGTAGATCCATCGCGCCTTTTCGACCAATGTAAGAGTCACGTGACTCCGCTGTCGGCGCCGAAAAACTCGGCGTCATTGACGGGCCCATTTGAGTCACAGCATATTCCCCATTCTTAATTGGTCTTCTTTTCTCTTTCGCTATAAATCAATCCCCGCGTCCATATTTTGAAAGCCAACTTTTGTTTTTAATCAAATCAATCTTGACTCTGCTTGGCCTAACTATACCTAATACCCTACTTTTTGTCGTCTCTTATCCGTTTGCCCCCCGCGGTGCCCCGCCTACACCATGCCGATGTATGTTTTGATGACTTGACTCCAATTGGTGTTTTTACATACTAATCTTTAAAAGGCTCAAGGATCCCTCAAAAAAGTACAAGGCTTTCAAGCCTCTTAACCTGCCAAATCGCCAATGGCCCAACAAAGTTATTGATAAGCCTCCTCGCTGGCTGGCAACCGATCTGCGGGATGGCAACCAGTCTCTGCCGGACCCAATGGTATGATATGATGTACTCTTCACTGCTGTTTTCAAAATTGATTGGATTGGTTCTATAGGATGGCGAGCAAAAATACCGTTTCTTCAAGATGCTCGTGGAGATCGGCTACAAGGAAATCGAAGTGTCCTTCCCGTCCGCATCTCAAACGGATTTTGATTTCACCCGTCGTCTGGTCGAAGAGCCCGGTCTCACACCTGACGACGTCGCCCTGCAAGTCCTGGCTCCCTGTCGTGAGGATCTCATCCGTCGCACAGTCGATTCCCTGAAGGGCGCTAAGAAGGCTATTCTCCACATCTACCTCGCAACGAGCCCCTGTTTCCGTCGGATCATCTTCAACATGGACCACAAGCAGAGTCTGGACCTGGCTGTTAAATGCACAAAGTACGCCCGTTCCATCACCAAGGACGACCCCTCCCAGGCTGGCACAGATTGGCAATTCGAGTTCTCCCCCGAGACTTTCTCCGATACTGAACCTGAGTTTGCCGTGGAGGTCTGCCAGGCTGTCAAGGCTGCTTGGGAGCCCACAGCGGAGAAGCCTATCATTTTCAACCTGCCTGCTACAGTAGAGATGGCCACCCCTAATGTCTTTGCTGATCAGATTGAGTACTTCTGCACAAACATGACTGAGCGTGAGAAGTTTGTTGTTTCGGTCCACCCGCATAACGACCGTGGATGTGCTGTTGCCGCAGCTGAACTGGCACAGATGGCTGGCGCCGAGCGTGTAGAGGGTACTTTGTTCGGCAACGGCGAGCGTACCGGAAATGTGGACCTGGTTACTCTCGCCCTGAACCTGTACACACAAGGTGTCTCGCCAGGCGTCGACTTCTCGGACATCAACGCTGTCATCAAGGTAGTAGAAGAAAGCAACAAAATCCCCGTTAACGAGCGTGCGCCATATGGTGGTCAGCTCGTGGTGTGCGCATTCTCTGGAAGGTTTGTTTTTTCTTTGTTTTTCCAACTGCGCTGCTCTTTTGCTAACTTGTTTTGAAACCCAGCCATCAAGATGCAATCAAAAAAGGCTTCAAGCTCCGCGAAGATGAGGGTGCCGATGACGATACTGAGTGGAGAGTACCATATCTTCCCCTGGATCCCCAAGATATCGGCCGTACCTACGAGGCAGTCATCCGCGTCAACTCCCAGAGTGGCAAGGGTGGCGCCGCCTGGATTATCCTGCGCAGCTTGGAGCTGGATCTCCCCCGCGCGCTGCAGGTCGAATTCAGCAAGATCGTGCAGGAGAAAACCGAGGCTGTCAGCCGGGAGCTGAAGCCTACTGAGGTCGTCAATCTCTTCGAGGAGGCCTACCACCTCAAGTCAAACCCTCGCTTCACCCTTGTCGACTACAGCATCACCACCGATCGCTCGCAGTCCCCTGCTCCCCCTCAGCCCGGCAAGGCCCTCAACACCAAGAATCTTAAGCGTCGCTTCACCGGTATTATCGAAATCGATAATGTTCAGCATTCCATCACCGGTGTCGGCCCAGGTGCTATCTCCTCCCTGGCTACGGCGCTTTCCACCCTCGGCATCGATCTCGACGTCCGCGACTACAAGGAACACTCCATAGGTCGCGGTCGTGATACCAAGGCTGCTACATACATCCAGTGCACAGCAGCTGGCAGCAATCAACATGTGTGGGGTGTTGGTATCCACCAGGATGTGGTTCAGGCTTCTCTGATTGCGCTGCTCAGCGCCGCCAGCTCGGTAAGATATGGTCTTTGATTCATCTGGATTTCGCCACTAACACGCGTTTAGTTCCTCGCCTCTCGCGCTGGTTCTCCCGCTCCTTTCCGTCCCATTCGCTCCAATACCCTGACCAACGAGGACATCGAGGCTCTCGAGCAGCTAGGCGGTACTGCCGACGCTGCCTCATCTAATGGTGATCTGAGCGCCCACGTCAACGTCGAACAGCTGACAAAATAAGCTGAAAATTTGTAAATGAAATGTTAAAAAGAAAGCAAAAGCCTAAAAGTGATAGCATTAATGTGACTAACATGATCAATTTGAATTGATCTATTCTCTTCAACGATCAGTTTTCTCCGCTACCATCCCCTCTTCGCACTGGCCCTATAAGAATTGAACTTCTGCGGCCCATCCGCCGAAATTACATGCCCATTACCACAAGACGAGAATGAAACCCTCAACTGGTTTGCGTAGAAGGTGCTAGGGCCTGAATCCGGTGCAGCTGCCGCCAGAGGGTGTCAACACGTGTCGCCTTTACCGGACCTGAGCACGAGCATTAATGTATCTAGCTGCGCTATTACTTGCGGCAGCTCGCGATTCGCAATACTGTAGTTGGGGTGTTTGGCTGATTTGTGCCTAGATTCACGGGTCTTGGGGCTTGTTGTGGGATCTACTGATGCACTATAGGATGAGAGGGAACGGCGACCTTTCAGAATGAAGAATTCTTTCTCGTTTGTGCATCATGCTGCATA